TTGCGTTGTGAGCTGGACATGGCTTTTCTTTAAGTTATCCAAAGTTGCACTGGTTCACCTGTTTCACCATCCTCCTTTCAGGTGTCCGTAGATAGACACTCACTTCCTCTATTAATCTTCCATCCTTAAACGCCAATAAAAGTTTCCTACAACATAAATTTCACAGGATTCCAGTGTTCCCCACACATGTCTCACAGTGTTGTCACTAAATGCCTCCAACATTTTCATGGTTAGTGCATTGGAAATGTTTTTTATAGTGTTTTGTGTGTTGAACTTGAATTGTGATCTACCTTCAGCTGCTTTGAACGCAATAAATTACGGTCTGAACACACATCTGCTCCTGTCCGTGATTTTGTGTACAGCAGGTTACATCTCTACTGACTTTAGATTCAGATGAAGCCTACCTGATTCTCGGTGTGTCCATTTAGTGAAACCATTGTCGTCTTGTATATATTCCTGAATTCATGCACACTGCATCCAGTCACCAAATCATTGAAGGCCCGGACAATTGAGAAGAGTTCACCGTCCTCATTCATTCCGTCGAAGGTATCCCAACCAGTCACCAGTTGTTTTCCTGTGTTGAGTGCTCCCAGTTCAGCATTACCCCATTACGATTTCCACACCACCACTTGGTGATAGTCTTGTCGAATACTGCTCGAGGTTGTACGTAGAGGCATTGTGTCTTCTGCGTCGTTTGTTTCCGTTGTTTGTAACAATGTGCTTAGTATTGGATAATCGTAACCGTTCTCCCTTTCCAGTTAAATCTTTGTGTCAGTATACTACACGAGATTGGTTCCCACTGAAAAAGAGACTCTGGATGCTGTTGGTGATATCATGGTAGCCACTCCCTCAGTGTACTGGTGGTTGTCGTCCAGGTAACTGGAGTAGATTATTGATAATTCTGACAGTCCGCAACTGTTAAATTTCTTCTCACAGATTCCTACATGATCTGTGCCGTATCTTCTCATCTCTTTCAAAGTCTCAGCAGTCTTTTCACCTACGAACATCGTGTGAACATTTCATTTCACCATCCTCATTTTCGCTTTCATTGAAAGAAGTCACATACTCTGTCTGGTTTCCCGAAGACCTTCACCAGCTTGCATCACCTCCGCTCTAATTACAGCAGAGAATCGATTCAACGTTTACCCATATTTTGTGCGTTGGAGTTTCTGTAGCGATGTGTCCAGAGTAGGAGCGCTGTCATCACCTCCAACCTTTCCCATTTCTCCGAACTGAAGACCAGCTAGTGGACTAGTGAATTAGTAAAGTAGGTGAGGTTTCATTAATAACGTATTCCTGTGTGTGTGTGTGTGTATCTATCCACTCTCATATTAATCACTATCTCAGTTAGTCTATTTGTTATCATTGGAATCTTCCACTTTGTCTAAACAACCCTTCATATCACCACTTCCGTTTATGTCTGAATTGATCTCCACCTACACTGTGATAATGTCTCTACTTCGATTGTGATTTTATCATACCAACCAACCTCTTGTATTATTTGGACATCCTGTTCATTTTTGACTGTTTTTATTTTACACTGGTCAATACGAACTGGGCATTCAGCTATACTATATATCTGAATTATTTCACAGTGTTCACACCTGTGTAATCCAGTGTTCACGTTGTATTCAGGTGCTCTCATTGATCAAGTTCACCAAGGGAATGCATGGCATGAACCTCATCTGGTCATGTTACTACAGGTATTCTGTTGACTAGTTGACGTTTCCGAGTGAAAGTGGACTGCATATGTGTAAAGTTTCAAACCAGGTCATTTCGGTTATGGATTTAGACTGCAACACATAAATTCAATAGAACTGAGGCTATTTTGAATTATGTAGTGCCGTTTGTATACAGGTGGTAGAAGTATTATGAGTAATAATAGTAGTAGTAGTCGTATATTTACTCACTTCGTGCAGTAGACTGTCTTCCGTGTTTGAGCCTCCTGAACTATTTCGGTTCACCATACTCACCTACGTCATTTTCACCTGATCATCTGATTCATTTTTACCCTAAAAGTACTGGAAATGAACTAATTTCAGGTGCATTGGTTATCATCAGTTCCTTCGAGATATTGATTAATGAATGAGTGGCATTACGATTTTTAAGTTAAGGCATATAGTAGTCTGAGATTAAATTCCACTTAGGAGGGTATATTGCCTATAGAGCTATTGGAAATTATACCTCATCCAGACGACTGTTTCTCCTTAACTGTCTATTCCTCATCAGTATGGAGAATAATTGGAAGGAGTAGAATAATGAATTTGGGAAGTTTTAATCAAAATCAGCTAAGAATGACTGATGATTTATTATTTTTCTTTTCTCCTCAATGATTTGATAATAACTTGTTTATAGAAAAACACAATGGATCTTAGTTGCATCCTTCAGACAACTGTTATTGGGTATTATAACTGTATGGGTCTTACAATACCATATCTGTCTAGCATCTCCTAACTTTTAATGTTTTTTCCGATGAATGTTGAGTGAGAACGTGGGGATACGTTGTAAAGACAAAATGATCCTGGGACGTTTGGGACTTCTTGAGTGATTCGTGTCTCGTGTCCAAGATACCGGAAGATTTACAGGTGAAAATTAACAAACTGGCAGAATAGTCAATGAAGACAGGAGTTCAAGTGAGCATAGAAAACACCCCAGAAGTAGTAAATTAATTAGTATTTCCTTCCATAATACTAACTAAGAGATGATAAAATTACTCAAAGATGAAATCTTGCTTCATTTACTCTAACTTGAGTCAATTTTTCATTTAAATTAATTAAAACCGATGTTTCAGAGTCTTTAGAGTTAATTTTGAAATTTCAGTCTAGAGATAATTATAACAGTTTTAAATAGTATATAGACAGTCTTTAGCTAATAATTACTTAATGTCTTTGTTTGAAGCATAAAATGTATTCTGGAGATGAAAAATGATGATATAGATATTAGGCAGTACTTAATTATCAAATTCTAATTTATCATGTAATAGGGAAGATTTGTAGCTCAGACGGATGATTTGCAATTAGTTGTTTTCTCTGAGCTGGTCCGTTTAATAGCGGGGCTTTCGTCGACCTTCTGGACAACATCTTCAGCGCAAGTTTTGTCATGTGATGATGAAGAGAATTTATAGTTTCAGTTAGGTGATTTTCGATCTTGTCGTGTTTGTTAAGCTAGATGGTTTATAATTGAGAAGTACTCATTATACTGCTAAGATAGCGACTTTGTAGGCTAACTTCACACGTGAGAAGTTCTTGAAGCACAATGAAAGCTTATGAATTTAACCAACCAAATGTAAAAAGAACACAACAACATCAAAAGACTACTAGTATAAAAAGTAAACATCAATTCAGTGCACCTGCAGCCCAACAGAAATATCTGTACAGTGATTATTTATCTTTTACTAGTTCCCCAACGTTATTACGAGTTCACCTTAGTACATACTAACTTGTGGTAGACTTTTTTATATCTAGGCTATTGGCGTCATGGAAGTCTTAGAAGGAATTCGACAGCCGTTAGTGTAGAAGAATCTATGAATGCTTAGACATCACTTGTAGGTCTTACTAAATATTTAGGGATTAAATTGAATAACTTTAGAATTAATAAGAAAAAAATAAAGATAATATGTAGATTGATAAACAAATAAACTGTCATTAAAATTGATCAAGAGTTGCAGAATAAAGAGTCACGGGCTCACACACATATACGCAACCGAAGAACCAAAAACACTTAACAGACTATACGTTGACTATTTGACTAACTGTTTTATCAATGTAGAATGTGGCAAAAAATTTACAGATTCAACTGTCTGCACTTCTCAGAAGCACGCATAAAAAAGCAGAGGTAATAAATATGTTGAAATCATACCGGTTAAAGACGTATGTATGGGAGGCAGAGTAATTACATGAAGGCTGGAGAGGATTTTCAAGATCTGTATGACAGTAACTGGTTTAAGTTCACAGCGGTCTTTCTAGTATGACAGAACCTGCAGAGATATTCCTTCCAGGCGGTACTGGTTATTGAGCCACTGAGATATCCAGCAAGCATAATCATGCTATCAAGTTGGTGGGTGTGGTTATCCAAGACAGTAATAAGTAATAATAAATCATTCCACCTCATAGCAGAGTATATAGATTATTATTTTTATTATCCTTTCTTTCTGTTCTTAGTGGGATATAGAGTTTCCGTAGCACATCTCCGTTCCGCTCGGTTCCTTGACATCATTTTCAACTGGCTTCACAAATTCCAAAATGATTTCATTTTGGCTTAGCATAAGCACCTTAATGTCACACTCTTACGCTTAATTCATCGTTTTTCACTCAAGCTTATAGTGTGTGACGTTACCCAATCGTCTCCTCCACCGCCTTATGCGTATTTGTTGGGTAACAGATTGCTGGTTGGTTCACTGACTGACAGGGTTTTTAGTTGCTCATTCTTTCTGGCCTGCCGAATGGCACTCTGGTCTTCTTTATCGAGGCAACGAAGTCAGTAGCCTGCTGAAAATGTTCTTCGTGACATTCATGCCGAAAGTCTGGAACAGATATAAGCACTAACTTGACATTACTGTTGAAAAATGGGATATTTTCTTGTGCGTAGTGGTGTGAACCTCCACGCTGATTTAGCTGTGATAAATGTCTGTCTCTATTTCTTGATTCTGGCTGATATTCATATCTACTTTCATGCCTGCCATCCGTAGTTGAAACGATGCTGTGCAACTGAGCAACTGGAAGTGATGACTTCTTTTAGATTCATCCTGTTAATTTTCACCAGAGTGCTAGTTGTTGCTGGTTATATATTTTTATCACCTTCGTCTAGAGTAGATAGATTAGCTTGTTGTAAATGTGAAGATGCCTTCGAATTTGAATTTCGCCACTGCTGATATATATATATTCTCTGTCAAATGCATTTGCTATGATTACAACTTAGTTTGTTAACGAATCTTGTTAACTCATTTAATTTCTACAGTTGTTCACAAAAATACTTCATAAATCATTCTTAAAGTTACTTACCTCAATAAAATGACATCTAGACAAAACCTGAAACAGAAAATGAATATTCTCAAATTATATATACTAGTCAATAGTGGAGGATAGATACCACAGTCAAATGACTCTGAACCAACCAACCATTTGGCTCAACATTACAAATGAATGCTGCTCGTAATCTTCGTTACAATTTTTACCCTAATTCAGGGTTAGGGTCAGGGTGAGATTAAGGTATAGTTATGGTTAAGGTTAGGGTTGAACTTTTAACGAAGATTACGGACAGCATCGATTTGAAATGCTGAGGAATGTGACTGTGAGTCATTAGGTTATATTCATCATAAAGTCAGTCATTCATCAGACTTAGTGGATCCTATAACCGCTACTCATACAGATTCTGTTCACAAGGGTTCTGGGCATATGTGAAAAAACGGATTAGAATGGTATATGTCTATAGACACTCTTTTAGAAAACTGGGACCTCTTTTTGCAGCATATGGGAGACACATATCCTACATAATTCATTATCATATATATATATATACATATATATATATATATACATATATATATATATATACATATATAATCCAGTAGACACACTTTTATACTGCACATGCCACTGTTGGTCTGGAAGCATATCATTGACTAGTTCAAGGTCATTCGATAATGGTATCTATTCTTTACTGTTGCCATGTAATACCACTTACAAAATGAAATAAGTGATCATCACTTTACAGACAAATAAGTAAAGCCCAATTAGTGTTTATTACTTTATTAAGTATAAACTGCAGTACTCACTCGCTGGGATTAAAGCACAAGACCTTCGGGTTACAAGGCAAGCTAGCAGACCATCCAGTCACTTAGACTCGACTCAGCGAATTTGCCTTGTAACCGGAAGTCCCTGGGTTTAAACACCGGTGGGTGCGTACTCTCGATGACTCCCAAACTAACCCCAACGGTAAAAGCTGCCCAGTACTCCCTGCTCATTCTCCATGGTTCTCTAACTGATGTGAATCTGTGGTTAAACTTGAAAAGAATTAAATTCCAACAAAGTAACTTTTGAAAATTAATTTTTTGTCAGACATAAAAGCGATATATATATATATACTAGCGTCACTATAAAGTTTATACCAGCAGCCACACCAGTCATCTAATTTAAGCACCTGTTTGGTTCACGTGACTAGAAATGACAAAAGTTCGCACTACAGTGATTAGTCTTCTAGATCGATGAACACATGATGAGCGCTCACAACTAGGCTATTAAGATTCAGTCACCGACGCCAACACTAAAGACTGACACATCATACTGATTATTATTATTCTCCATTGTTCAGTCAATGTTCGATAAAACGAACTCAACACATTAGTCAAAATTTACTGAACATCTTTTTTTTTGAATATGTAATCACTGTGAGTTTGTTTACTTGGATAGTCTTTAAAGCAGCTTAATAAATAAATCAGCCTGCTTTTATGGATGACGAATGAGATGATCTAAAGTATTTAAGAGTCTGTTGGATTATAAGTGTCTGTTTTTTGTAAGCTACAGTGAATAACTCTCCTTCTTCTATAAGTTTTAATTAATAACCTGAAATAGCTAAGCTCAATATTCATTCTCTAACTGAAGTGAAAATTTTATTCTGTCTAATACTAAAGGATAAAATAATAATAATAATGGAACAATATAAGCAGAGTCTGAAAGTTATGTGAACAGCTTTATATAACTGTCAACAATACAGTCAGCTCGAAATGTCTTGTCAGTAAATAATACGGCATCATTTTTTGTCATATAAGATAAAAATTACTCTCTGATGGGGTCATTTGAAGTCCAGTCTATCAGTGCTTTACTTAAATAGATTATCACACATAGACACATTATTTAAATCACCTAAATACTGTCTAGTCAATTGAGAGGATGTATAGCACTGTATCATGCTAGATGTCAGAAAGCAACTACGTCCTATAGTAACAAATAGACAAAATAGGTTGATTTATCAAAGTACTTTGTAGTGATTTTTAGGTAAAGTACATGGGTCAAAGTATCCGACCAGTTAGAATATCAGTTAGAACATCTAAACCTGAAAGCTTAGACAAACAAATCCGATTGGAATAAGTCATATGGGAAAAGATCCAGCTGTTACTATGCGTGCCGTACTGTGCAATAGAGCAAAATTTCTGAAATCTGATATATTTAGGTGGAGGAAGACATTGTTTACTGAAAATCTATTTTAAAGCGATTGATCAGAGTGCCACTGGAAAACCAGGGATCACTGGGCAGCTGTTTCGTCCTGGTTAGGGACTGTTTAGAAGTACACGCCTACCAGGGTTCGAAACCATGAACTACCGGTTACAAGGCAATCTCACAGGCCATTCAGTCACTAGGCTTCTATCCAACGGCCAACGAATTCAAACTTCTATCAGGTAATGAATTATAGTGCGGTCACTAGCCAGTGTCATCAGCGAGTTTTTGTTCTCAGACTCAATGTGGTCCTGAACACTTACGCTGGTTGGTGACAACTACTGAGGGGCCCCAAGTTAAGAGTAAACAGCTGTCTAGTACTTCCTGGCTTTCCAGCAGTTCTCTAACTGATACAGATCTGTGATCCAACTTGAGACAAATCAAGTCTCTCTTGAAATTTAAAACGATTAGTTCATATAATGAATTTGGAAAGCGTTATTTTCCAAAGAGGTCTATCTAAACGGTGTGATATATTTGTGCAATACATGTTGAACATTCTGATCGCACATAAACATTTTCATTTTTCATTTCGATTTATGTAAAAAAGGAAACATCAAAGGTCAACTAAAATAATTAAATAAAATAATAGGAGATTTAAGCGTAAAGGGGTAATAAAAATTGACACTACTTTTCGTAATATAATCATATGCGGATTAACGCAGTCACATTAAACTGGATTTTGTACACATAGAAGAGGGGAGCCATTTATTTTGCGGATAGCTGTCGCCTGAGTGTATCTCAGAATACACCCATGAAGGCTGTTTCGATGTCATCCTCATGATTCATATCAATTAGGCATTGTTGATAGACGAGGCTGGTCGTCGACTGCCTACGTTTATCAAGGTTTTGCAGTTTAATTGTCTTTCTAGCCATTTTGGGTATATATTCTGTCACACTTACGTGGAAAGCGCTATAACTCCCTACTCTCACGCATGTGTGATTGCATCTACACACATGTAAATTGGTGTATAGTACGGGATATGATGCACGGACCCATGCATTGTTGAGACCTGGGAGACAGCATGTTTTTCGCTTATGCGATAAATACAAATCAGACTGCATACTAAGATTTACAAATTATAAAATTTAGTCTGTTTTAAAGTCATACTATTTATTTCACCTTTATAAGGTAATTAGCTACAGACATCGTTCTCAGGATCAGAGTAGACTGTAGGTTTCTACCAAACTTCATTCAATGTTGACGTTGTTGTTGCTGGTAACTACTACTCCAGAGCGTTATCATCTTATGTCATCATCAGCCATCTACAGTATTTTACTTTTACTAGTAAAATTAATTTTTTTCAACCTATAGATCAAACAACAAAATCATTCACTACCAAAAAGGGTAATGAGTCATTGCCAACTACTCGTTTTGGTGTTCCTGTAAACTGATAATAGATTACTTGCAAATGATGCATAGTTAGTCTTAGCTTCCAATCTTGCTTCAAGTGTAGCTAACTCACAATACAGATTTCTTTAGAAATATATATACACTAACGAAAAACATTTCTGACAACTCGAGATTTCCACTAACTGCTGCTTTAGCTCCATACTGAAAATCATATGGTGAGAAAGGATTAGCAATAGGGAACTATGGCAACGAACCAACCAACAACCCACTGCGTAACGAATACCTCGAAGAATATGGGGATGGATTGGCCATATACTGAGGATACTGTTGCTTGACATCACGTGTTGGGCCACTGAATGGAACTCAAGTGGGAAAAACAAACGAGTTAGGCAAGGGTCCGAGGGTGATATGGAGGAGATCACGTGAGGAGGAAATGGAAGCTTTTGCGTACTCATGAAGCCAGCTAAGGAGGACTGCAGAGAACCCTTCAGAGGAATATAGATGTGCCGTTTAAGCCTTATATTCTACTCAGGAACCAAGAGAATAATAATGAGAAATAAAATTCTTTAATAAATATTCTTTGAATAACATACTGTCATCTTTTGTATTTTGCTTAACAATGTTTGTCCAGATAGAGTGAAATCGTATGTTCGCAATAATTTTCCCGTCAAATTATTGATAGCCCTTATTACTGTCATGAAAAAAGAGAGCTGTGAAATTGAAAAAACAAAACAGAAACAAAATCATCAACTAAGTGTAAATAAATGTACTATCTGATAACTTTGTAGTCTACAAATACGCTTCCATCAGTAAATGAAGCACTGATGAACATTTTTAACTTCACTTTTGAACTATCCACCAGTAATGCTCAAAAGCTAGCACAGTCATGTTACTGTTTAGTTACTTAGTTACATATCTGTCAACTATGATTTCAGCTTCTTTTAAATCTTGAGAACAGCATAACTCTGTTATTCAGTTACGTGGAAACATATCTGGTATCTGATTGAGAGATGGTTTTATTCCACTACCACATTAGAGAGTGATATTCAGTCTAGTGCAGATAGTTACATGTGTGTTGTTCAATGGAACTAGTTCATTAAGTGTGAACATTTAATAAACTCAACAATGTAATAAAATCGAATTTGTTGAACTCTTCCAAATTCGTTTATTTACTTGATATATGACACATATTGAGGGTCTGCTAGTGTAAATTTTCCTGGATCTTCGAGCTCTGGTAACCTTACTGACACTGGTCTACTACTTAGACCTACAAAAGCTGCAACGTATTGGATAAACTAAATTATTTCGTTTCATGGGCTCCATACGACTCTTTAACTGACGTAATTTGTTTCAATGGCATTGAATTCCACTTTTATTCCAACGTATGGCTTCAGAGCTTCCTTCATTGTATGGCACCAGTACTGATGTGAATGTTACATTCCTTCTGTGTATGTTTTTCATGCATTTCGTCCTCTTATTATTGTTTTTTCCTTCATTTAATTCCCCATATACTTTGTCTAGGTAATTATTAGGTGCTAAAGCTTCTCTTATACGTGTTACTTCTAACTGTAGATTGTTTTGAAACTATTTATTTGTTCTTTTCTATTAACTTAAACATTTTACTAATCCTATTTTAACTGACATAGGCTTAAATGAACCGAGATTCAAATGTTACTTTGGATAAGTGGGTTTTCTGAAAATACTAGTGTTCAACTTCTCATCTTGTTTCTTTCTTTTTTTATGAAGCTCTCCTTCTTGTCCATTATAAATTCGATTAAATCTACTGAAGAAGCTGTAGCTTACACAGCGAAACATTCAGAAAAATCTTGTTCTTATTTTCTTAATTTATAACGAATCAATCTGACTCGGCGCTCAAATTATTCCAGGAAGTTCGGAACACATACGGCCTGGGAACCTATAATCTCTCCTTCTTGGCTTTCGAAATGAAAAGTGAATGGAATTGGATCTATCGTTGAGTTAATGTGCTCAAAATATCTCTTTATATCCTGTGTTTTTAATACCACGAATGTGCATTCACACACCTACACCTTACATTCATAGATATATTTGAGGAAAATGGAGATATCGGTGACCGCATGCCAACTCCATCAGTTTCAGTGAATATATCCCCTTGAAACTTAAATACTGTAAAAGTCAGGCATAGCTACACTCCTAGCATGATTTCTTCTAGTGGTAGTTAGATTCTAAGCCCAAGTTCTTGGTCAGAAACGACTTCGTTCTTGGCTGCGTCTACAGCTGTGTTTATTGGTTACACACAAGCATCAATGGAATGGAACAAGATGACAGCCTTCAAATCGAATCTGACAAAGTGTAGAGTGACAATGATAACTAAAGCTTAATTAATCAAATCTACTAAGAATATGTGCAATAGGAGTGATTCAGTAACTGTCTTCTACATCTGAAAAATCCTACTACACTTAATAGATAGATGGGAACAAAGGATGAGAACTATAAAAACTTCAGTTTCCATGTTGTGTAGTCACACGAGAGGATACAGCTATGGCCAATAATAAATTAGGTTTGGAACATCATCCAGTGAATAATACTGGTTCACTGTGTGTGTATGTGTGTGTGTCTAATAAACAGATTACCACTGAATAATATACTACCACATTTAATTGGTTAGCTTCAGTTTTTCTTTTTTTATACAAAGTTAGTACATTTGTACAGATTTGATTACTAGTTTAGGCATATTTTACTAGAAAGCAGGAGAAGTTGACTTTCTGCCTAGTCAGCGAGTTTAGGAGATCCTGTATTGAATAAGGACAGAATATCTGCTCATTGTTCACTGGATTTTGATTTCTTTTTCTAACACATTAATACCTCTTTGTGTTGTGTTATTTCTGTCCACTATGGAAGATACTTATATTAGAAGTTGATTTGAAGAAGTATATTAACTAACGACAGCGTAGGTATTAGACATTTTTTACATTGCTTACTGTGTAGTATTTAACATCCGTAGTGTTACACGTATTTGCAAATACAAAATAGTAGATTAGCCAATGTGGTTGGATTTTTCCATTATGGGTAAATTTTATTTTGATAGAGTCTCACAGTGTTATACAGTAATATTTACTGATGACGTTTCGAGCACAATTTATTGCTCATAATTGTGCTCATAAATTGTGCTCGAAACGTCATCAGTAAATATTACTGTATAACACTGTGAGACTCTATCAAAATAAAATTTACCCATAATGGAATTACACTCTACCACAGTGCCCAAGTTTTATTCTTATATGAGTGGTTGGATGTAGTTTTCTGATGGAATTAAGTAGAATGTATGTTATGCATTCTGAATCACCAGTTTCATCAGTTAACAATGTTTTTTTCAAGTAGATTTGAAATGCAGAAGAGTCAGAGGTATTTCAAAAAAACGGCACTAGTCAATTCATGAACTTTCCCTTAGGACCCCTATTAGCCGACTGCTTTTTGGCTAGCTTAGAAAAAAAACCTTATCATCAACTATCAACGACCTCCATCTCTACAAGAGATACATCGATGATACTTTCATTATTTGTGATGAGAATTGTGATTTAAAAAACCTACTTCAAATCTTCAATAACGCCCACCCAAACATCGACTTCACACTTGAGACTGAATCCAACGGAATGTTTCACTTCCTCGACGTCCAGCTGACAAGAAACGCCAACAACTCTCTGAAAAGATCCATATACAAAAAGCCTACTTGGAATGGACAATTCATCAACTTCCAAAGCTTTGTGCCCCTAAGCAGAAAGAGGAACCTGATATACGCTCTTTCCTCGAGGATTCGGAAGATATGCAGCGAAGAAGTGATTGAAGAAGAACTGCGTAATCTCCGGAAAACCTTGATGGAAAACGGTTTCCCGCCCAGGTTCATAGACAGAAATCTCAAATCTAAGACTAAGACTTCAGAACAAATCCAATCCGTTCCAAAGAAAACACTTCTGCTTAATCTAGAATTCAAGGGTGATATTGAAGCAGAAATCCTTCGCAAACGTCTCTGCAAATCTCTAAGGAAAACATACTTCGCCGCGAGCCTACGACTGACGTTTTCTTGCAAGAAACTGTTCAGCCAGAACGTGAAAGACAAGCCGTCGCATTGGGCGACCTCAACGTGCATATACCAGTTTACTTGCTCTTGTGGAGCTGAGTACATCGGCCGTACCATACGCCGACTTGAAAAACGCGCTCGCGAACACTACCCAGCCTGGCTAGTAAAAGGAGACCGAAAACGTGTATACAGTTCAGTGACAGAACATCTGATCAACTCAGGACATTCAGCGCCTTTCGAAAAATCCTTCAAAGTAATATACAAAATTCAATCAAACCTATCAAAGGGAATCAAATCAAGACATCTGGGCATAGCTGAGGCGCTAGCTATCCAAAAACTCAAACCCACACTCTGTATCCAAAAGAATTACGTCCAACCCCTCTCCCTACCATGGCCATCATAAACAGGTAAAATTTTTTAGTAATGACAATCTCATCGCCTTTCTTATCTAAACTTCCTGTTTATTCATGTTATTTTAAGTTTTCTTAAACCCTGTTTACACTACCATATTTTCATACCCACTCTTCCTGTTTATTTTGTCATTTTACTATTTCTACATATTTAATCCCTGATTGCATAAACAATTATTCATCATATTAGTTTTTTATCCAAACATCCTGTATTTTTTGTTATTTCTACATTTCTAACCCCCAATTGCACAATGTCAATCTTCTTAGTTATTATAATGCTACTTTGTTCGAGTTTTACCCATCCCCCCTGTTTGTTATGTCATTTTAATTCCTGATTGTAATTTTTTATTAATTTGACCCCTAACCAGAAATTATTCTGGAACTTTCCTATCCATTTGATATAAATACACGAATGTACAGCCTAGATGATGACTTCGTCGAAAAGAAAATTTTCTTCGCTGCAATTGTCTTTTTATTAACTCCTTTTCGGATATCTCAAAATCACTACTTTGCTAAATAAAGATGAAGTAAGTTAACTAAATGCCAGATAAGCCAGCCGGATTTGTGCTGAAATTTCATTAGAAATCAAGCCACACTGGCTAATACTTAGTACTCGATAAGTGTGAATTGATCAACAAATTCAACCATTTCACCTCTTATCCCGCAAACAAATAGTCAGTGTAAAAACTAGTCCTGCAGTATGTATCACTTTGCATTTATCAGGTATGATGCGCATGCTAAGCACAGTCGGTGTGTCTTTGGGCGTAAGGTGTTGTGATGTTCATCAGTTTGAACAATTACATTCATGTATTTTGGTCATGCTTATTTGACTGTCCTATCTATTCACCTAATCAGGATGTAATTTCTGGTTATTAACTGTTTATAACATAACATACAGACAAGTACATGTGCACACAACCAGATACAGAGTACATATATAGTAGTGGCAGTAATCGCTTACCTGATTCACTAATTCATCATGACATTGTACAAAAGTTGAATTAGTCGCTTGAAAATGACTGTCAAGACATTCACGTTCACTGTACAACGCAGATAATTCAGAGTTTTTATTAAATAACAAGAAACGATGTGATTCTTTCAATTTTCTTAAGTCATTTTGTGCTTCTCTCAACTATTTTCGTTGTTATTGTTGTTGTTATTGATTTTGTGTAGGTGTGTGAGTGTATGTGTCCATATATCGATTAAGATTTCATTTAGTAAATGAAAGATAAATTAGTGCATAAGTTAGTCACCAGTGTAATATAAACAAAAGTGTAACGAATTAGTAATCTTGTTGAAAATTCTGACGGGATAATTACTTTGATGGTATTGCAACAGAAAAATACACTGATACGCTCAATAATAACAACAACACAAATGTAATCTAATGTCTTCAGTGAATAAGTGTTTTCAAAAATTATACCACACCTCAATTTGCAATAGGACTACTGGATAAGTAATCGCAGAAGTTGAAAAGCCCTGACCACCGAATCCTGATCGAATGAATGAATCGTAAAACATCTACATCAAAGTTTAACTGTCCTGAGATCGACGAATCACACCCAAAGCGAACCCATATATCTATATACATACTAATAATTGATATGACAGGTTTCCAATCACTCTTTTCAACCAGTAGGGTTTACTGATCAGATTGAAGTGATCTAGACACTAGATGGTGACTTTCCTTGTTTAACGTTACATATGATAGTGTTATCATTATTGTATCCGGTTAGGCTTAACTCAGACAGCTGAAAAAATTCAGCTACCCAAGTTCTCACTAGACTACTCTGATTAACTGGTTTGATTTTTAAAGCCAGCCGAAGTGGATTTCCAATTTTTAACTGTTTTTTTGATTTATAAATGACAAATTCGGTTCGCAGCGATTCCGTGCTTCTAAAGGTATGGTTTCCGGATGGTGCCAGTAGGTGATAATTTTCGCCCTGAAGTCTGTCAGAATCTTGAAAACACTTAAGTACTTACAAATACCAAAACATTTGGATTTCATTGCGCTTTCATTTGTATTAAATTTAATTTACTGTGGAATTAAAGAGCTGGAGTTAATAAAATGAAATATATATATGTTTCATAAAGCCGGTTCCCTTTTATTAAATTGAAAAAAATGACGAAAAAACAGTTTTTGCAGTATATGACGAGCTCGTTTTATTTCGTGGATTCTCTTCAACTGTGTACGTCCTAAGCAATATCGATATATAACTCACGAAATTTCTAAAGATACTTTCTACATAGGAACTTCGAGATACAGATAAAAACTGTAATGTCAAAAATGATGTTAGTAGACAAATATTTAGTGTTAAAAGACTAACTATTTATATATTAATTAGACAAAAGGGTGGAGCTTTGATTTCTCTTTGGAGACAAGGAAGAACTTGAGACAAAATACAAGATGGAACAACATAGTTAGTTTATACATATTATGCTGTAGAGTTCAGGAGTGTGGGGGTGAATAGTTTAGTAAAATTATAAAACAGATGAAATAATTTAATTTATTAGATGTTAAACCTTAATACTGTGTTCAACTTGGTGAGTCAAAATCAAAATCAAAACCCGACTGGTACAATGAAAGACTTGAGACGAAATATGTGACAACACATTAGGAATTTAAGTAGATAAAAACACCGAAATTCTCTGCCTGATGTCAGCTCATGATTAAACTTAGAAGAAAGCGAATTCCCACAAACTAAGTCTTGAAAATTAAAATGATGTTCTCTATTGACCATTGTGGCCCTAATGAGGAATCGTGACCAATGGGGTCCACCTGGTCGAGAGTAAGGACAAATACTCACCGCGGATCACACTGGCTGGTGATTGCGCTGAAATCACAAATAGGTACAATTTAGAATTTGTGGGTTCGCGATTAATTCGGTTCCCAGTGGTCGAATGGTTTGAGAGCCTGCGTTGTAATCATGAGCTCCTGGGTTCGAGCCTTGGCGGTGGGTGTATACTGCCGATGAATTACAAACTAGAACAACGGAAACACATGTCTAGTACTCCCTGCTGATTTTCAACGATTCCATAACTGATATCAATCCGTGGTCAAAACTGAAAACAGCAGTTATCCTTCTGCTGTCGTCCTGATATAAAATTTCAAAGATAGTGCACATTTATCTTAAGATTAATGTGTACGTCTTAAGTCACTTTTGTATAAGGACTATACTTCCAGTAGAATATTTTTTTAAACAGTAATGTCTATTCCATCCTAGTATCACTTATCTCTGAAAATATAACCCTAAAGATTATCTGGAGATCAGAATTTGATGTATTTGTAAGTTAACAACACATGAAATGTACACAGCCAGAATTAGGATAGATTTACTCTAACATATTTAAATAGTTTAGCTAACATTCCATAACACCATCAGCTTTTAAATCACATAACATTAATGTGATGACTCGTAGAAAAACCCTACTAAGCATTAATTAATTAATTCTGTGACTTAATTCAAGCACAAATGTGTATCCGTGTGTGTGACACACCGGTGAGGGATGGTTAGTTGAATATTGATTAAAGCTTTCAAATTAGAACTAAAATACTTTAGTTACATTCTTCTTAATGTGGTTACTCAAGAAAGAAAAAGCAATGCATAAATTACCACGCAGAGCTTTACTTTTCAGTTATCCCACTGACCTTTCAAAGCAAGACTATATACTTCAGTCTGCATAAATATATAACTGAATATTCAAAACAAAAATAATTGTCCATGAATTCCAACTTCTACCAATTTCATGCATTTATTCCCCTTGATGAATTTAAATAAAGCAAGAACAACAGCGGTTTGTGCAGAATAATATGGTACCATCATTTATTTCGTCGGCTTCTCATCAGCTGCTTACAGCCTAAATAAATTGTGAGGTTTACGTACAGAAAAGTTTTTTACATACTTGCAAATTTTACATGTTGTCAGTTGACAGAAGATTCCACAGTAAGTGAACAGTGCTCAGAAAATTGCGCGTTTAAACTTGAACTGCCTGTGAAAAAAACTATATAAGCGCAATTTTCTGAGCACTGTTCACTTACTGTGGAACCTTCTGCCAACTGACAACATGTAAAATTTGCAAGTATGTAAAAAACTTTTCTGTACGTAAACCTCACAATTTATTTAGGCTGTAAGCAGCTGATGAGAAGCCGACGAAATAAATGATGGTACCATATTATTCTGCACAAACCGCTGTTGTTCTTGCTTTATTTAAATTCTACCAATTTGGCGATATTTAGCACAATCGCCAGCCAATGTCATCGTCGAATAACTATTCTCTTGCTACACTTGATTGACTCCACCAGTTACGACTTCTCACTAGAACTGCAGGTGAACTCCTGTATAGGGCAAGACGCTAGTGAACATTATAATCATTATCAAGTATTGGTTTGCAGGGATTTGATTGGTTACAGGTTTGATCATGGATTGATATGATCTAGAAATCCAGGGAGTACTAAACAGCTGTTCCGTTCTAGTTTTGGACTCTTCACCAGCGCTTATTCACGAGGGTTCGAACCCAGGATCTACCGGCTACTCACTTGTGACACTGGCTAACAGTTGCGCTAAATATCACTAATTAACAGAAGTTGGGATCTATGGACTGTTGAATCGGATCTCAGGGGCTGTATGGTCTATGAGCTGGCCTCCTGACCGTGTTCCAATTTCAAATCCTGGTGGATACGTACCACTGAAGAGTTCCAAAATGGGACGAAACATCTGTCCAGTACTTCCTGCTTTTGCGATAGTTCTTTAACTGATGTAAGTTAGTGATCAAACCTGTTCACTAATTAAGTCGACTGGTTAAGCTAAAGGTAGGCTGTCCGGCATCCACACCACTCCGTATGCTGTCATCTAACGTTCGGTGCACGAACCCTTACTACTTACGCAACCAACACTACTTTACATTTCTGATCCTTAAATATATCTCATAAACTGAACTATCATTTCGTTGCACAAGCACACCCTGAGGCTGTTAGTTTATCAGTTAAGCATGCTATCAGTCGGTTAGACTTCAGTGACCCATAATTTCCTGATTTTTGTTGCTTGGAATTCATTTCCTTAACAAGGCACAAACATTAACCCACACATGGTTTAAACAGATACCAGTCAAGATGTACAGTTATCAATTTTATTCTCAATGCTCAAAACGACAAGTTACTTGAAAATCTAAAGAGAATATATAATTAAGGTAGTTAAGCTGAAAGCAGTGATAATTTGAGCTTATATATTTTACAGTGAATGCTTCATCGTCAAGCTGTGTGACTTCAGAAGTATGCGCATAATAAATACAGTTGACTAAGTGAGCATTACCTCTAACGGTCAAGCTATCTTCCCAACAAAATCTCCTATGAAATACATATTAGGTCATTGATCGAGTTCTAATGTCATACATTTCAGTATGTGGCTAGCGATATTGACAAAAATTTGCCAGAAATATGTTATGCAACATCTCCTGGAAGATTCCTGAATAGAAGAGCGACAAATGAAGAAGTAAACAAGGGAAATGGAGACAGAAAGAATTCTGAGTCTAACATTCATCCTCTTTTGGCTCTCCACGAAGTGCTTCCATTAGTATCACGTTTTTTCACATGGCAAAAGTAGAACAAATTACAAACAAAACTGCCCACAAATTCCTCTCAAGGTGGAAAAAATTCCAAAGTGTAAACACTTAAAAGACAAAAAGATTGAACAAAGAAGTACTGAGTTTTCAAACAGATCATTTTATCAGTATTGGGTGGTCAATGATTACTTCTCCAAATGGTTTAAAAGTCGGAAATTCTTCTTTCAGCTGATCACAAATGCCCATTAATATTTTTTCAAATGAATAGTTACTGAACAAAGACTATTCTTTTCGATAACTCCTTCTTCATAAGGTTCTACAGTTATACATACATATACACATAATACTGAATGAATTAGTGTTATTAACAACATCAGTGTTGTTTAAATAACGTCGAATCAATAATAATATCAATGGATTACAGTTCGATGGCATCAACGTAACACTATACTGAATATCAGAAGAATTAGGAAAGATAGTAATACGGATTGATGAATTTATAGTCTCTACTGAAGGCCGATCAGGGTAGTAGTAGTGGCTGGACTTGCCTTTTTTTCACACAAAGCACTGGTTCTTTCGCGCGAATCGTGATATCCTTTGCTGTTTGGAGTATGAGGTACCTGAATATTTTTGGCAGTTTATTTGACACCTAATAGATGTTGGAGAAGGACTCCTCAATATTAGCTTTGTGGATGGTTTGGACCAGGTTCTGTTCGTTAACTAGGCTACAACAAAATTAACAGGTTGTCACTTTTTCCTTATTGCATAATGACAGTGCCACAAATAGATTGTAACGAATTAAAGTTCCAGTATAAAGATGTCAAAACCACAGTCGGAAAGACAAGACATCACTCTGGAAATCTTCTGCACCTCACCGAAGCATCAACAACAAAATTTGGATTTTAAACATGACCGTTAATTCACTCAACGCTTCTGCATGGGTCAGAAACTTGGCACTCGCGTCACGAAAAGTATTTCCAATAGGCTACGGCAGACTTCTATCAACAGTTGCCTTCTCTGGCTACATACTGAAGACCAGATAGCCGGTTAGAAAGAATAAGCATCAGGAAACTCTGGGAATGAACCAGCAAGCGAGAACCCACTCCCCAGCGAATATGCAGAAGAAAATGGAGATGGATGGGATACAAGGTGAGGAGACAGTTGGATGATATCGGGCACCAGGCCAAAGGTCAAATCGAAGGTGATTGGGAAACGACGAGTTGGGCATATGCCCGAGTGTGACGTGGAGGAGATCAAGTGGGGAGGAAATGAGAGGCTATGGGCAATCGTGGGGTCAGCTGAAGGGGAGTGAAGACAACAGCAGATATGCTGGTGGAGCCCTATGTTCCACTTGGAACCTAAGCGAACAAGAATAGTAACAATAGTGCAACTAATCTGGGGCTTACTGACTTCCTATTCACTGTTTTTCTTCTTTCTTTCAGTCATAATAATCAAGAATAAAAAGATAAAGAATAACCAAATGAACATGTATTGTTATCAGGTAACTGCTTACTTCTTCAGCTTTAGTCTCCATTTCTCTTTTTAATCTTTCATTTGTACTGTGTAGTGAATTATATCTCATAATCAGACCAATTATAGCATCATCGGCTAGCTTGATATAATCTAATTTATTGTATAAACAGAAATAGAATAATGATCAAAATAATAAGATAATTATTAAATTATGCAGATTGATGGTGGAATGGAATCTGTAATATTTAACTTTAAACAAAAGCATGGCATAAAGAAGTTAAGACAAATGTAATAATGACGCAAATATTATATTTATTTGCCAATAAAGAAACATTGCACGTGTACTTTAATGAATGCTCAGAGAAAGACGAATGGTATCAGTTAAAACAATATAACTTGGATTACAATAGAGCTGAAAGCAGTTATTTGTTAACTGATCTATACAGTGATTAGATCTTAACTTGGCAAAGCTAGAAAATGGTGATCTAAATCCACTTTTTAACGCAATTGTTTGTCTCAAGATCACTGGTGCATTCCTTCCACCAGATCGCCGTTCTTTAACTTGACCTTCAAATTCATCTGTTTGACTGGAGTTTTCGTCAACCTGTTGTATTACTTGAATGATATTCAACTTAATATTTCTCAACAAGTTTGATGTCTGTATAAGTCTTCTCATCTTATTTTTAACAGACAATAGGGCATGACTCAAACTGGATAAAATGTTTGGTATTGGAGTTAAGCTTAAATCTCTATCAGAATTTATATCTCGCATCTCAGTAAGTCAAGCCACATATCTTTAATTCACGCGTTACTGGTTAACTTCAGGGTTTCTCCTTGCAGTCTCAGACATCATTTTATCGCGTAAAAATGAACCTATCAGTCTGAGACTACCCAACATAGTCTAACTAACTGTACCGTTTTCTTTAAATGATTCTCGTTCTGACTGGAACATAAAACTTCAGGCTGTGGAATTTCGCTAGTGCTGGTTTTATTTTCAAGGGTTGAGGCTGCCAGCTTCACGCCTAACCTTCCCTCTTTTACGGTTTTACTATCAGCTAGGCAAAGTTTAGGAGTGCATCAGTCAACAGAACACTTTTATATAATTAATTAAATGATATAATATGCACTGTTCTGGGCTAAATTCACTTTGGAAGAATTGAAAGTCAATGAAAAGTCTTCACCAGTGGGGTCCATCTGGTCGGGAGTGAGCACAAATACTCGCCGATGACTATTGGCTGGTGGTTGCGCTAAATTCATGAATCGGTAGAATTTGGAAATCATGGGCCATTGGATTGGGTCCCAGTGGCTGAATGGTCTACGAGCTTGACTTGTAACCGGAAGGTACTGGGTTCAAAACCTGGTGGATGCGTACTGCCAGTGAGTACCTCAGTAGGACCAAACTGCTGTCTAATATTACCTGGTTTTCAGTGGTTCTCTAACTGACACCAACCCAGGGTTAGACTTGAAAAATAAGTCAAATTCCCAAAATATAACTCTTGAAAAATATGGAGACACCGGGTATTCATGATGGGCGCAACTGGTTGTCTTTACTTCAGACAAAAACTTCCCATAGGCCCTCATGCAGTTGCATGAGTCCAAGCGGAACGCCCTGGATAGCGTGATATACATTCTCTGCACTTCGTTTACGACCAGACATAACAACAGCACTTCTTCACTGACGGAGTCAAATCTTGACTTGATGTCAAGATATATGGTCAGCATCGGACACTGGTAAGTACGACTGTGTTCAAGAATATGTCGAAGGATGAAAACATGATCAAATCACCCTCAAATAGATGGTCTACATCCTCTTGTATGATTCAAACCTAAAGTTGAAGACTTCACCGATTTGTGCCGCCTTTCGGTGTGACCACTCAGAACACCTTTCTAAACAGTGTGCGTAAGTTTAGGCTTAGTGGATGGGATAATGATTGCGAAATTTAAGTGATGTTGTTAATGTTACAGATGAATCTGCCCAGTATCCTAAGTCTGGTTTAAGGATAACTTACTGTACCTGCATTTTGCCTCCCTATATTTCTTTTCTGCTATAGTTTTTGCTTTAATTACGCTAGATTTCCCGTATTTTATCTCTCTTTGGATGATCTGATGCCAAGTGTAGAAAACTAGGCCAATACACAACCTAAAACAAGCAACATAGGTTAATAAAGTAGACTTTAATAAATTCATTTAATTTCTGTAAAATTCTTCAGCTGAATACTCTGAATTTAGGGATATATCCCATTAGAATTAGAGATATAAGACTAATAAGTAAATAAACTACGGTGAATCCAGTTTCAATTCAATGGACGTCTGTTGCGTCAAGTCGACTGTGTTACAAGAGGAAGTCCCTTGAGACCGCCTTTTGCAGATTAATTCTTGGAAGGCCTAAAAACCGATATTTTGCAAGGAAGTTATACCTAACATATATTGATTATATTGTATTATCTGTGACAGCAAATGCAAAGCGGAAAACTGATCGTTAAAATTCATCTGACTCCATTCGAATCTTAATTTCACAACAAAACACGAGGAAAATGATACTTTTAAATTCCTAGAAGTTTCTCTAGTGAAAACGACCGGTGAAACAATGGAAAGACCTATAATTAGAAAGTCTTCATGGACAGGACAGAACACACATTTGAAAAGTTTTGTTACAATCCACTGTAAAAAGAAATTAGTCAGAACACTGAACAGTGTAAAGCACGCAAACTTTCTTCTGACAGCAGAAAGTGACTGTGAAATAAAGACTCTGAAGAATATTTTGTCTAAGAATAGATATGGTGAGAAGCTGTTAAATAAATACTTGAAAGAAATGAGTACCAGTAAAACTTTCCAAACAGTTTGAAAAAAATCCGCATATATCAATTTGCCATTTAAAGGAGATGATGTACAAGAAGTAGTCGAAAGGAAATTCGATAAATTTATCAAGAGAACTTATTGGGCTACAAAACTCCTCTTCCCCTAACACCACTAAGTTGATGTTTCAACAATATGAACTTCAATAAACGGCCACAAAGAGTTGAAAGATTGACGTTCAGCGAGAAACCACCAATCAGAAGACTGTGTTTGCTTGCTTACAGTAATCTAGAGTAATGTACATGAAAGTCTTTATATATCTGTTGATTTCCTAAATAAACGATCTGTTGTCTAGCCCTTGTCTTCTATTGCTACAATAGGACTACAAATACTGGACGAGAATTAGAAGACAACTATTCCAGTTAATATGAACAGTCTAACAATATGCTTGACATGATCAGCATATGATATAAAATGAGATTTGCAACCAGTCATTTTCAGTTTATCTTGTCGTTTTGCACATACAACTTTTGAAATCCATTATTTTCTTTAAGCATAATTTAAGATGAATGTGAACAGTGGAGAACTATGCAAAGTAATTACGCAACAGTTATTACTGTCAGTCATGAATAAGTATTTCGCAGTAAATCATTCTTAATTTCCCATGGAGTCAAGTACATTCAGATTTTCTTTGCGATTCAATAACCACTAAGTGATATCTTGATTTTGCTAATATGAGAACATTCTCTTAGTTCTTCGCATATGTATACCTATCCTACCCTATAACTGCTGAACCTTCAAAGCATAGAAATAATAAACTGTCTCTTTCACTTGCCTGAAAAGCAACATTTCAAGCACAGGTAGCACTGACGAAAACGTTAAATCCGACTGGGGCCTGAAAAGCAAGATTAGGGTTCACTACTCTGAAATCACTTGGGGATCCACACCACTTAGTGCAACACTGATGTCAAGTCAGTGCTTGTGTATGATTCAAATACTCTGCTCTAGAGGCATGGAAAACATTTCGAACAGACTTTTGTCAACACCTGCCTTTGTTGTCTCAATACCGAGGATCAGACGGCCAACTGGAAAGAATGAGCAAGAAAAAACTCTAGCAATCAGCTGACTAGCCAACAGCCTATTACCGGACAAATATGCAAAAGAAAGTGGGGATTGATTGTATTTACTCTGTGGAGGATGGAGGGTGATACCACACTTCAGGTCCTAGAGTGGAAGCCGAATATGAAGCGATGAGTTTGGAGTGTGTATGTGTGACATGAGAAAGATCATATGATGAAGAAATTAAAGCTTGTCGAGAGTCATGGAACCAGTTGGAGGTAATGTCAGGTAAGTGAATGGAATAGAGATGTGTTGCCAAAGGTCTATATTCTACTGGAAACTGAAGGAATAAATCGTAATAAAACCTGCTTGCATTCTGTGTTGTCGAAGTCTGCGTTTCCTAAACCATAGTATTAGTTTCTGTGACCACCTTACCTTGACAGCAACAAAATAATCCGTTCTAAAAATTCATCAGCTGAAGTAGTAAGAAAATTACAAAATTGAAGACAAAACAGTTATGTAGTTAATCTATAGTTAAATTATCTTTATTTTCTTTCTTCACGTTCCCCAGTGGAACATAGGGCTTCAAGCTAGTTGGCTTGAAGTTTTTGTAGCAGTGCTTATTTTACAGGATGGGGGTTGCTAGTCTCATGCCCAACCTTTCCTCTTTACCAGAATTATTTCTGGCTCGGCGAGGTAAAGGAGTGCGTCGGCCGGGGATCGAACCCCGGACCATGTGCACGGTCGGCGAGCGTCCTAACCGCTATGCCACCGACGCACTGGTTTTATGGGTTTATATTAAAATGTATACCAGAACATTTTGTCAAAAATTATAACTTATGGTCTTTTCGGAGTTAATTCACTGATTGTAGATAGACAATAGCATGCCAGAAGTCAAAAATATAGGCTCACTTATGCAGTCAAGGAGTTAATTTCGAGCTTAATAATCACTTTACTCTAGATCAGTCCATCCTAACAGATAACAGGCTGATCATATCCAGCATACTGATAGACTATTCATATTAACTGAACTAACTGTCCTCGAATTCTTGTTCATTTTTAGTCCTATATAAGCTGAATGACTATGCACTATGCTTAATACCAACAGAAAAATTATAACACTCTCAGTTATACCAGTCCTTGTGGAATTTTAAAGAAATTACTAAATTATGTCAACTCATAATATTTTTGTCATCTGTAAGTTCATTTCACGAGCATCGGTTCTGATTACAGTACTCTCCGTTTTATCAGTCTTTATTTTTATGCTTTCAGTAATGTAAGGCGGTCGTTTAGTGGTAGAATGCTTGTCTATCAGTCAAGCAGTTTGGGTTGGACTCCCGGTCAAAGCACTCCCAAACCGTGCCTAGTTTATTAGCCGACAGCGGGCCGGTAACAGTGGGAAGGTGGGACGTGAAGCTAGCAACTCCAACTTTGTAAAAGCCAACAACATCATCACTACTAAGACTTCAACAAATTGAATACCTACGTTTCACTGGGAACACAATGGAATGAGAAAAATAAAAGCAAAATAGAAGAAAAATACTGATGGGCGATTTTCTTCATCCTTCTTGTCTGAACCTTAACCTATTATTAGTTTATTTACATGAATTCAGGTGCAAACCTTTCACTAAATAATATTTGAAAATACTTATCAGTAACACATACAACTATTCCATTGGTGACATCAACAATGAAAAAGTAGTTAAAACACACTGATTAAACTGATAACAAATACAGATGTTTGTATAACTAATTTTTATATTTATTGCGCAACAATAAAATATGACATGAACTGTTCTATTTTGAAGTATTGGTTTGTAGGGATTTGAGTGATTTGTTACGTGATTTCATTGTGTGCTGACATGGGTTAAAGAACCATTGGAAAACCTGGGAGTACTGGACAGATGTTTCGTCCTAGTTTTTGACTCTTCAATAGTACGCATCCAATGGGGTTCGAACCCAGTACCTTCTGGCTTCCTGGCATTCCAGTCTGAAGTCGTGACCAGTAGGGTACAGCAGGTTAGGTGTGAGGAAAAGTACTCGCCGAAAACATTGGCTAGTGGTCGCGCTGTGTCGTGAATCGGCAGAAGTTAGAATTCGTGGGATGGCCATTGGATTGGGTCACACTTGCTTAATGGTCTACAAGCTAGCTCACCTTGTAACCAGGAGGTCCAGGGTTTTAACCGCGGTGGATGCGTACACATGAAGAGTCCCAAGCTAGGATGAAACAGCTGTCCAGCACTCCCAGGTTTTCCAGTGGTTCTCTCTCTTTAACCATCAGCTTATCTATTGTGTATTCGTCAAGAAGTGAGAAAGATTCCATGAACTTATCTTACTAAAAGTTCAAACAGCAGAAATTTTCATTCACGGAGGTGAAATTTATGGAGGACAAATATCATACAAACCGTTGTGATTAGAAGTAGTATATATATTTTTTAATAAATGATTAAAAATGCCCATTAAAATGTTTTCAAAAGAATCGTTACTAAACAAAGAATATTCTTTTCGATAACTCCTTCTTCATAAGGTTCTACAGTTACGTATACATAATAATAGTGACTGAATTAGTGTTATTAACAGCATCAATGTTGTTTAAATAACATCGAATCAATAATAATATCAATGGATTACAGTTCGATGGCATCAACGTAACACTATACTGAATATCACAAAAATTAGGAAGGATAATAATACGAATTCATGAATTTATAGTCTCTACTGAAGGCCGACCAGGGTAATAGTAGTGGTAGATTATGGAGAACGATTCGTCAATGATGGCTTTGTTGTTGGTTTGGACCAGGTGGTCTAATATCGAGCTGTTGATGGTTTTTACTACAGCTTCATTTAACCACAATGGTAGATGTTCCCGAGCACGAAAAGTCTAGATCCTAGGGCAACGGTCCAGCCACTACTACTCCCCTGGTTGGCCTTCAGTAGAGACTATAAATTCATGAATTTGTATTATTATCTTTCCTAATTCTTCTGATATTCAGTATAGTGTTACATTGATGCTGTCAAACTGTAATCCATTGATATTATTATTGATTCGATGTTATTTAAGCAACACTGATGTTGTTAATAACATTAATTCATTCAGTATTATGTGTATATGTATGTATAACTGTAGAACCTGATGAAGAAGGAGTTATCGTAAAGAATATTCTTTGTTCAGTAATCAGTCTTTTGAATACATAATAATAACTGAACATATTAATAACTAACCTTTAGGTAACGAATCCACTACTTTTTGTAAGTACGTTTCATATTTCTTCAAATCAGCGACTTTAGCTAGCAAGGACGCATAACTAAATTAGTTTAATAATTAAAAAAGGGAATTGAAAACTTAGTGATTCTCTTAATTATATTTTTATGGGAAACTAATATCAGCAATTTTACACTGTACCATAATGGCAAGCCACCTAGCTTGATGCTAGTCACAGTGCAAACCTGACAGACAAAATTCAGTCTACACTAGATGCATGACTCTGGTTGTTAACTTGTGTTCAGTCAAAGTGAGAACATAACAAGCAATTCAGTGAAGCGTGTCGTCTCGGCGAATTTATTCACTTAGCTGTTCAATCCCCATTATATATATAATTACTTTTATATGTATGTACACCTTAGGTTTGTCGAGAACACTATTCCACCCAGCTTCAAAAAAAGGTGGTAGTGGCTCTATCATTAGTGGGATAATCGAGCACGCTGTCAGTACTGGTCATTCCATCTCAACAAAAGCTTCCTTCAAAATAGTTCATAAAGTGAAGAATAACCTACCAAAGGCAATAAGACTTCGTCTCCTTTGTATTAACTGAAGCCTTAGCCATTCATTTAGAATAACCAAAGTTACGTATACAAAAGAAAATCATTCAACCACTGCTACTATCATGTCAACAACCGTGTTGATTTCAGCTGGCTTAATTTTTGTGTAACCTACTTCTCTAACTCTTTATAAATCGTGTGTTTCTTTGGAACTATCACATAATTCCATACATTGTAATTAAAACTCACTCATTAAATTGCTCATCTTATTATTGAACTAAAATACATTTATTCAACTTCTCTTATGCAATGACAAACATGAACAACGATTTTTTGACAACTCGTCACCATTACCACCTTAGTGATCTTTGCCCACTTAGTTACTATTTGATTATTCGTTACATTTTTTGAAATATTTTGATGACTTAACAACAACCCTAACTAATTCTTATTCTTGTCTGATAAATCTAATGTACACACACATACAAAAATAATTAAATATGATTGCGATAGTATAGGTAAGTGAATGAATTCACCAAAAAGAAACTCTTCGGTGAAATGCTCTTTTTGTTTTTATTCATGTTAAGATAAGGAATATTCATCAATTAAAACTTCAATTAAAGTATCTAACACAGTGGTAAAAGTCAATCGCCAGCCCGAATAGCTCAGTGGTAACGTCTCTGACTGCATCACTGGGTAACATGGGTTCGAATCTCAGAAGGGTTATGAATTCTTTCAAGATTGCACATACACCTTACCGACTGGTGAGTGCCAACAAGCACAAAACCTACGTCAGGTAGGGCTTCCTAACGATTGCCTCCAACCACCTATGTCAACAATTATGATATTATACATGGGACATCAGCAGAACATCTCTCTTCCCCTTGAAGTAATTTTCAACAGGCTTCATAAATTCATACAAGCCTTCGTCTCCACATCACATGATCACCTCCTTGTTGCATTTGAGCACTCACTTCATCGCTTCACATTCACGTCCCACTGAAGACCATGGTGTGTAACGTCAGTCAGCCATCTCCGCAGCGTACACACAACCAATCTTCCTTTCCTTCTGTGTGAAAGGTTGTCGTATGGTTCACTGACTGCCACAGTTCCCTGCCGCTCATCTTTTCCGGTTTCCTGACTGGCAATGTGGTCTTTTCATAAAAGTCTGCAGTAGCCTGTGAGAAATACTCTCCGTGACACTATCATCAAGTTTTGGCAACAGCTTCAAGCGGTAACTTAACATTGCTGCTGAAAATCCGGACATTTTCTTGTGTTCAATGGTGCCAGTCTCCACACTGATTTAATAGTGATAAATGACTGTCTCTCTTGCTCGATATTGGCTTGTATTCAGATCTTCATCTGTGCTTCCTACACGTAGTTGCTTACGGCTCTTAAATCTTCGGATATTTGAGGCACGAGACATAAATCACTCAGGAAGTCCCGAAATAATTAGGGTTATTTTGTAACCACAATGCATCTCCATCAATCGGGAATATAATGAAAAAGATACTACAGAAATACAGTAATGTCTATAAAACCTATACAGTAATAATACCCAATAACAGTTGTCTGAAGGATGCAACCAAGAACCATTGCGTTTTACTATAAACACGTTACTATCAAATCATTGGGGAGAGAAGAAAAACAATAAATCATCAGTGATTTTTAGCTGATTTTGATTAATACTTCCCAAACTCATTATTCTACTCTTTCCAGTTAATGTCCATACTGATGAGGAATAGACAGTCAAGAAGAAACAGTCGTCTGGATGAGGTATAATTTCCAGTGGTTCTACAGGCAATATACCCTCCTAAGTGGAATTTAACTTTTAGACTACTATATGCCTTAACTTAAAAATCTTAATGCCAGTCATTCATTAATCGATATCTCGAAAGAACTGATGATTACCAATACACCTGAAATTCGTCCATTTCCAGTACTTTTAGGGTAAAATTGAATCAGATGATCAAGTGAAAATGACGTAGGTCAGTATGTTAAACTGAAATAGTTCAGGAGGGCCAAACACGGAAGAGAGTCTACTGCACGAAGTGAGTAAATATACGACTACTCCTACTCCTACTCCTACTCCTACTATTACTCATAATACTTCTACCAACTGTATACAAACGGCACTACATAATTCAAAATAGCCTCAGTTCCATTGGATTTATGTGTTGCAGTCTAAATCCATAACCGAGATGACCTGGTTTGAAACTTTGCACATATGCAGTCCACTTTCACTAGGAAACGTCAACTAGTCAAGAGAATACCAGTAGTAACATGACCAGATGAGGTTCGTGCCATACATTCCCTTGGTGAACTTGATCAATGAGAGCAACTTACACAGGATCACATGAATTCATTTTTATTTCACACGGTTTTCGTCACCCGAATACAACGTGAACACTGGATAACACAGGTGTGATCACTGTGAAATAATTCAGATATATAGTAAAGCTGAATACCCAGTTCGTTTTGATGAGCGTAACATAAAAACAGTCAAAAGTGGACAGGATGTCCAAATAATGCAAGAGGTTGGTTGGTATGATAAAATCACAATCGAAGTAGAGATATTATCACAGTGTAGGAGGAGATGAATCCAGACATATTAAGCGGAAGTGGTGATATGAAGGGTTGTTTAGACAAAGTGGAAGATTCCAATGATAACAAATAGATTAATTGAGATAGTGATTAATATGAGAGTGGATAGATACACACACACACACACACACACACACACAGGAATACGTTATTAATGAAACCTCACCTACTTTACTAATTCACTAGTCCACTAGCTGGTCTTCAGTTCGGAGAAATGGGAAATTTTGGAGGTGATGACAGCGGTCCTACTCTGCACACATCGCTACAGAAACTTCAACGCACAAAATATGGTTAGAAGTTGAACCGATTCTTTGCTTGAATTCGAGAGGAGGTGATGCAAGCTGGTGAACGTCTTCGGTGAACCAGACAGAACCAGAACCAGTGACTTCTTTGAATGAAAGCGAAAATGAGGATGGTGAAATGGAATGTTCACACGATGTTCGTAGGTGAAAAGACTGCTGAGACTTTGAAAGAGATGAGAAGATACGGCACAGATCATGTAGGAATCTGTGAGAGGAAATTAAGTAGTTACGAACTGTCGGAATTATCAATAATCTGCCCCAGTTACCCGAACGACAACCACCAGCACACTGAGGGAGTGGCTACCATGATATCACCAACAGCATCCATAATCTCTTTTTCAGTGGGAACCAATCTCGTGTAGGATACTGACAGCAAGATTCAACTGGAAAGGGAGAACGGTTACGATTATCCAATACTAAGCAAACTGTTACAAACAACGCAGAAGACAGAAGGCCTCTACATACAACCTCGAGCAGCATTCGGCAAGACTAGCGCCAAATGGTGACATCGAAATCCTAATGGGGTATATGAATGCTAAACTGGGAGCAGTCAAAACAGGAAGACAACTCATGATTGGTTTTGACTCACTCGACGAAATGAATGGGGACGGCGAACTCTCCTCAAATATCTGAGCCTTTTATGTTTTGTTGACTGGATCTGAAGACAGTAAAGTTGCAGTCTGCCGGACACGAAATCACGGACAGGAGCAGATTTGTGCTCAGACTGTTAAGTTGAAAACCTTCAAAGCAGCTGGAGACAGACCACAATCCAAGTTTAACACCTAAAAACTGAAGGACGAATCTACAAAAGACACTACCTTTGCACCCATCAGGAAACAGTCGGATACACTTTACAACATCATTTGGGAGATATGCGTGAATAACTCTGGAACTTTCTGAAATTGATGTTTTCGGAAACCCGTGTAGTCGTTCAAGAGGGGAAGAAAGATTATGAAAATTAATGGCTATCTACGGACACCTGAAATCTAATAGAGGAGACGGGTGTTGTGAAACAGATGAACAAGTGCAACAGTGAAGAGCGTAAGGGGAAGCTGTATTCAGTCTATAGTGCACTGAATAGAGAATAATTAACATACTAATTTATACGAGAGTAGTTGGATATAAACACTGAATTACGTTATAAAAACGATGGTAAATCTTGAGGAGTAGAAGATAAGTGAGTGCTTACCAAGATGGTGACGGCTTCAGAGATTCGATGTAGCAGTAAAGTGGCTTATCTTTCCACCATTTTGAGAGAATCTGGTGTTGAGTGACGTCACCGTTGAACTGGACTAAGTTTATACGCCATAAAATGAATTTTTCCCATTCATTTAATCGAATAATCTAACGGACGCTTATCATATGAATCAGGGAAAAGTTTTATTTCAAGTTTGATCACGGATCGATATCAGTTAGAGAACCATTGTAAACCATGGAGTAAATGACAGCTGTTTTGCTGTCGTTCTGGACTGATGTGTAGCAGGCACCCACTACCAGGGTTCAAACCCAGGACCTCGTGGTTAGAAGGCGAACTCGAAGATATTTCAGCCAATGGGATCCGACTCAATAGCAAACCCATGAATTCTAACTTCTACGAATTAGTAATTTCAGTGCGACAACCGGCAAATGTCATCCGCGGCGAGTATTTGTCTTCACTACCGACGAGGTAGATTTGACTGGTCATGAGTAAGAAGAGACACCTGTCCACTACTCCTTGGTGGTTCTTAATGGTCCCCTAACTGATGTCAATCCATGGTCAAACTTGAATCAAGTCGATTCCCTACAAAACAACTCTTGAAAACAATTTTATTATTATTACTCTCTTGTTTAAGTATTTAGATAATGAAATAACCATTGAACAAGTGATTGTATATATCAGTTTTTAGGAGGACCGAACTTTCATTCTATCCTTTGCCAAGACCAGAACTGTACACAGTCTTATACTGCGTCACAGCTACTCGGCTGCTCTCTACTACGGTGTACCAATCTACTGACAAACAAACATGTACAAGGAAATGAAAGTGGATTGAACAAATGCCAAGGAGACAGACATTCAGGTGACATCACACACTAGGTTGTTGAGTGGAAGCCCAATGTGAAGCGACATACTGATCGCGAACATTAGTGAAGTCAGCTCGGGAGTTAAGTGGAATGGATATGTGTTATCGAAGCTCTATGTTTCACTCAGAAAGCATGAGAAGAATCAAAATAATAATAACAGTAATAATCCTTTAATTCGTCAGAAAAATACTTACAGTTCTTTGGCCTTTCTTAATTCACTAATTAAATTCTGTCGTTCTTTCTTTTTAACTGTACACAAATGATTATCTGTACAGAATTTCTGTAGAGCTCTCCAACGCTTTGCATCATTATCTCTAATAAAACTTTGACACTTCAATTTCCGTTCTTCTAAAGCATTCACATCATGCTGTAATAGAGCACGTTGTTCTCGGGATTTCGCCATTTTCTCCTAAATTATTAAATAATAATAACTAAATGTAGGCAATTTCAATAAGGACTTGATTCATTGAGGAATAATACTGAATACTAGTGATAATATTGATACTAAGAAAACATATATATATTACATCATGCAGTAACTGTAGATGGATAAAATATGAACTGCAAGTAACCCAACTTCTTAAAGACTGTCTTCATTTAAAAAAAGCATACTTACGATAATGGCGATGGCGAATCAATGTAGTAGTTCTTACATAATTCAGTAGCACATAAAGTTACTGTCCTTCAAACATTTGTACATCTGAAGATAATTTTTATTGATTTATACAATCATTAGTGAAAACACAACATGTAGTTCAGCGGAAAGGCTCTTTTCGGCGAATTCGTTTTCCTTTTTCGCTGTACGATAGCATTTATACGCAATCTCTTCTTTATGAAAGAGGGTAGTAACAGCAATGATAAGTTCTCATAACCACAGTTATTACTATTGTGGTGGTGTGATGTAGACAATGTGATCCAATGGAATACTATTCTCACACACTCCCACATTCTATTTCATGTTGTTTGATGTAAACCAAAATCACACGCTCAGTGGTTGGCTGAACAATATAAACTGTATATATATAAACAGCGGTTTGATCAATGGAAAACATACTTTTGCTTCCATGTATTGCCTTTTGCTGTTACAGTATTAATCAGTGCATAAGAGGAATTGAATAAGTGTGTTAAAGTTATATCCAACGTGTATCCTGTCTAAAAGGGTTGAAGAACACAATCCCATCGTATGGTTGTGGAGACGTAGTGGTGACTTCTCTATAAGAAGTGCGATAATAGAACACCTTATCAACACTCATCATTCCATCTCAACAAACTCCTCCTTCAAAGTAAGTCACAAAGTGAAGAATAAACTACCAAAGGCAATACGATTTCATCTCCGTTGTATTACTGAAGCCTTAGCTATTCAATTGGAGAAACCAGAGTTATGTATACAAGAGAAAATCATTCAATCACTTCCACTATCATGGTAAAAACATTGTTGTTGATGTCTACTGACTTGATATTTGTTTGCTTGTTTTTCTAACTCCTTATAACTCTTGTATGCCTGTAGCTGTCTTAAACAATTCCATATTTTCCTTTGTTTCTACGTGTATTTTGGTCACAACTCATTCATTAAATTTATTATTTTTTATTATTTTATTCCTTTACGTTCCCAGTGGAACGTAGGGCTTCAAGCCACAGCTTTGAAGTTTCAGTAGCAGTGGTGTTAATCTTCACGGGATAGGGTTGCTAGCCTCATGCCCAACCTTCTCTCGTCACCAGTGTTATTACTAGCTTAAAAAGGTAAAAGGGGATGCGTTGGCCGAGGGTCGAACCCCGGACCACATATGTGGCTGACGAGGATTCTACCAGTGTGCCACCGACGCCTATTCATTAAATTAATCATCTTATTACTTATTCAGCTGCTCTTATGTACTAATTTATAGGAACAACTACGATTGTGACAACTCATCACTGTTGTTGCTACCCTTTTTCATAAAAAAGAGATTGTCTATAAATGCGATCCTACAGCTAAAAAGGAAAATGAATTCGCCGAGAAAAGACTTTTCGCTGAACGACGTGTTTTGTTTTCATAGATGTCCGGATGAAGATCACTCATGAATTATGCAATCAGAACAAATTTAGTCAACCGTATTTCCCTAAAAGTCTACACAGCTGGACCGCATGTCAAATTGATATTTTTTAAAATACTCTGGTAGATGATATCTTGACACATCTTTCAGTCTGGTGGAATTTATCTTAAAACTGGCTGAAAATTTCCAGGTTTATGTAGTATTTTCATAACATTTCAAGAACTGAGTTTTTGTAAATTTAATCGGTTTTAACCTCTTGACTCGTGGAGTACATCAAGTTAGTGGGTGGCGATGGACTGTACCAGGAACTGACTGACAGACCATTAGGTTAGACTCTTATTTGGAATAACAGAATGTAAAAATTTAGACACAATGATTCAGCTTTTGACTCTATAATAATATAAAGTCATTCAGCCAATTCTTCAGCTGCCTACAAGTATAGTCTTAAAAACGATCAAAATTTAACAGTTCTCAATAGTTTTTCACTTATCTAGGCCAGTCATATAATACTACGATAAGTCTGAAGATGAAATCAGATGTGTTATTTGTAATTGAAATATTTCCATGTGAAATTTCAACACAAATTCTTTCAGAAACACAAGTTATTCTGTTCGTAGTGTATGATCAACTCAACATTCTAAGTGGCAATCCAGAAAGCAAGAGAAAAATTTCCGTCGATCAGTGTTGCTCTTTAGCCACGATCTAAATGGTCTAAACACTAAATTGCCATAGCATTCGTCCGCACCACAGATCATCAGCCAGGACGGAACAGCTGTCCAGTAAACCCAGATTTTCCAACCCAATTCAGCTCATGATGATCATATCAGACAGACCAACCAGTTCAAACCATTCGAGTCCAGCATTTTATTTTTCATTAGTTCTGATAAATTATATAATCTGTAAGACCTAGAGTATATTCATACATGTGTAGAAAAGTGAATGAATAACTTCTGAAAGTGATTAACTTCAGTAAAATGTACAGTTAATATGTCAAAAAATCATCAGACTTTACAATTTTATTATTAAAAAGAAAGAAAGAAAAACAGATATGTAAATGCAAATACTTATTTTAAAACTTACAGCGAATAATTTTCTCTTATCTTTTAATTCTGCTGTCGCTTCTGCTAAACGCTGTTTACACTCTTCAATAGGATCATCCATTATAGGATAGAGCTTAGAAAATTTCAAATTGTGCTGATGCATAAACTTTGAACGATTACTAGCATGTGCAATTTTTTTCATTTAGAAAACAAAAACAAAGCTTGTTAGCTACGAATACATATAGTCTATACACAATAATGTAGTGATTATAGGTGAGATGAAAATTTGAGTTAAGACAGGGTTCAAACAGTCGGCCGGTAAGTTACCAGTCTGATTGGAACTGACCTACGAGACTGTTGACTGTAATCTAATTTAAATGACTGACTGAGTTTAAAACACAGAAATTTACACAAAACTGCTTCACTTCAAGGTGCAACGCTCCGTATAGCAAACGGAAAAATTCAGAAGAATCATAACGAACAGAAATACACGGGGAGAAAGAGCGATTACGCAGAAAATCATGATGATTCAATGAATCTGGGAAATTAGAGAGGGAGGGAGAGTGAACGCATTGTAAGCGGTTTCGAGTCATATCAGTAACATTCCCTATCCACTAGTCCTTTGCGTCTGCAAGACATCGGAAAATGGACACCTGTCTACTTGTTTGGCTCAAACCAGCAGTCAAAGACTTGGTCGACTGATCTCGTGATTTGATCGGACCATCCCTTATTCTTTTTCAGTGTAATCGTATGTAAGTTAACACTGTTCAGCGAAAAAGGCAATGGTCTAGTGTGCTCAACACATGCCCTAGCCATCTCATTCAGTATAGCTTCACTGTTAGTTTTAAATTGTAATCGCGTAATGATGAAAAAATTAATCAGAAATAAAGCTGGCTTTAACGAATCAACCATCTACAAAGTTAAGCTTAATACAGACAGGCAAATGGTAACTATCACTATTAGTCAGTATTCAACAAAAATAATAGAAAGTATACTAGTCGTATTTTACTATCTAACTGGCCTTAAAAAAGTGTTAACTAGAGCATATATATTTTTCTCACTGTATCTCTGTATACCAGTAAATAAAACATTTTAAAGTACTTCGGAGACTTCATAAAATGTACAAATTGTGCACCTAAATATATTGATAATTATAACGTACGTGTAAAATAAAAATTATAATATCCTATTGAATGGTTTCATTTCATTGAGACTATTGATGAACATCAGAAAATGAAAAGCACTCATACATTTATGAGTAAGGCAAAAATGAAATCACTAAAATTGTGCTTCAAAATAGATTTCATCACCAACCAACGATAATTAGAGGACCGGTGAAGACTATGTGTCACCGAACAATCGTTTCGTTCGATATCACGTGTCTTCGGTAGTGCTTATCCTTGACCCCAGCAAGGCCCGAACCCAGGACCTTTGACTGATGAATCGTGTGTGCACACTGCTGAAAGGCCTTAAATAGAGGGGGAAAATGATAGTCCAGTACTCTCAACAATTCAGCACCTGCAAAACGTATTTTTTTCTCTAGACAAGTCCATTTTCAATCTGTACAGTCTAGACTATATTACACAAATAAGGCAGGCAAATGCTATCTTGAATTTTACTCAGCGATCAAAAATTAAGTATGCCTCGATTAAACAAGCACTCACACAATTACCTAGTTACTCGAAGTAAACTCTACACAGTTCAGAAACATCTGAAGCGGTATTTATTTGTTACTTTATACCTCGAGATTACTCACTTGAAATGACAGTATTTTTTCAACATTAATTTGAGAACAAACACAACACCAATCAATAATGCACTGATTTCGACTAACCTTTGTTCATGAACTTTTGAATCCGGATTACATTTTAGTGTATGCGAAGCCATAGTTTAGACGAAACAACTTTAATAACTAATAAAAGTAGTTTATCGGTTAACAGGAAAAGAGGGAAAGTTGGTTTCTGTAATGGCCAATAAAAAGTAAAATTGGTGTAATAGAGACGTTTCGGAGGAAAAAAATTGTACAAACGGCAAGTTAGAAAAAGGAATTTCTTGTAATTGTAACTCCATATGACTGATGGGTATGAAAATGTCAGTAGATTTCGTTTCTGGGATCTCTTCGTGTCTAGCTAAGACCAGGTCTAATAAATTCACAATCAGATTGTAAGTGTTACCGCGTAGTAGCTGATCTTTGGTCAATTTAGGCAGTCAGCTTCCAGAGACAAGTGAATTTATGAGTATTTATAGGGTTAACTTTTAACTGGCTGAACAGTTGGAGAATTATTTATTCGTATATATCTGCTTAACTGACTTGTTGGTAAAACATGAAAGTTATATCTGCTATTATCTGTTACTTTCCGACTTGCTGAATGATTTAAATACTATCGACAAAATGTGTATATACAACTGTCACTGTGTGATGCGTAATGAGTAAAATGTTCCCTCCAGTAAATGCACTGTGAAAATTCAAAGTGATTTAAACAAAATTCTCAAAGCTAAAAGAATGAGGAAGTCATCAGTTTGAGACTACATGAGAAACTGACTCGCATCAAAAGCCAAGTATGGAGTTAAACCTTAAAAAATTTAAAAATTTAGCTCAACCACAGTACGAAAGAATTATTGATTAAATCAGTTCATAAATACAAATGCGAACATTAAACGTTAAAAATCAGATTAACGTTTAAAAATCTAACTTAGACCAAGAATGATAATCGACCCTCTCTTTTTTGACCTAATCACTTGGTAATTACTTCTAAGGAGAGTTAACAAGATTGATAAGTGAAACACTTTGACTAATTTTACAATACCCATGAATAAACTTTTACACTTAAAGGACAATACAGCTTTTAAAAGCACTGACGTTTACCTCAAAATCCGGTTCATTGGTAGGCTAATAAAAAATAAGAGATCGGTTGTAAATGCTATTGGCTGAATGAATTACGAACCTGATTTAACAGCGTCGATCAGCGAAAGTAGAAGAGCATTATGAATTAACAGTTTTTATCAAAGTTTTCTTTACTACATTTATTTAACTTATTGGCGAGCGGATCAGTTGTTGTAGTTGAAGGTATATTCAGAGAATTTATTTGAAAAGTTATAACCTGTTAAATAAAATATCACCTAAATATAATTCAACTTTAATGTTATTCAGAAACAATTCACTGACTGACTTCTGTATCGTTAACAGTATACGATCCACCGAAGTAAATGGTTTACGCACCAACACCCCCATAAGATGTTTCAGTGTTGTGTTGTGTCTTAGTCGGGCAACTAGTGTTTTCAAAGTTGCTGTTTTCATTTTATATGGAACATTTGTGAGACACTAGCGACAATAAGCTGGTTACGTTTGTCACATCAGTAAAGTTAAGCTGTAGAATGGCTATGACTAAACAAAAAGAGGACGATTATTGCTTCGTTCTTGTACAATGTTTTTGTTTAACTTGTACATACAACTAAAAGCTAAACTAAAAAGCTAAACCAAGTCCCAGAACTGCAAAGAAATACAAATTTAAGCTAAATTGTAATAGACATTTCTATTTTCGCACAAGCAACATCCAGGTAGTATTATCTGTCGACAGCCAAGATCGGCACAAGTCAATAAGGAATTTAGAAGCAGGGTTATGATCTGAAAATGTCGTTATTGATTTACTGTGATGTCATCTGAAGCCCAGTGATTTCACACTAATGTCAGTTAAATATCAGTCAGTTTGTGTCTTACTTATCTGTAAATACCACTGTATTTCTATACCCGCGGAAAGCTATATCTCCGGTAAAGGTACGAATGCATATAAAGTGAACACCATCACTTCAACTTGTCAATCCTGATTTTTTGACGCATGGTTAACATAATACAATATTTCTCAGCCCTGAAGATAGGAAAAATAGACTGAAGCTGATTAGTAATAGAATTAAAGAGTTGAATTAAATGTTTGATGAATACGTTGTTTACTAAGAAGTGTAAATATGTAATAAATTCTTCGATGTTTATGCAGAGTGTATGCAATGACTGCATTAGATGAGAAATAACTAGAGGTTTCATCATGAAATAAGATAAACCGACAGGTAAAATGTTAAAAAGTTTTAAAACTTCAAAGAGGTGTTGAGAGTAGTAAGCACTTAAGACATTACAAAACAAGTTGATAGTACCGATAAAACGACATTGCCAAAATTATATTGGAATGAATAAATCAAGGTGACAAGTGAGGTAATACCTGTAGTTGTTCAAAGTGAAATTAATGACAACAGCCAACATCTGCATACAAGCCCAAGCTTACTTTAATTTCTGAAGTAAGTCTCGCTAACTCTGAATTACCTCTAACATTCTACAGTCAGTAAATTCTGAATATGTTCTGAAGTGGTTTGACTATCCGCACAGAGTTAAACTAATAGCTAGTTATCAGCATGACTGACCCTGCTCTTTTTCTAATCACTTTCAGGAGTAGATCAGAACCTACTTGGTCAGCTTACCGGCGTTGTTTCAACCATCGCAGCACATATTCGGCGCTGACTAGCATCACTTCAGAACGAAAAGACTTAATTCAGACCTTATAAGGTCTGACTTTTCTATTTGAGTGACCAAAACTTCGACAATGCAGATAATCTGAATAAATAATGCAGTGGAAAATTTAATTTTTGCCTGGTAAATAACTGTAGTTATTTACTATACAGGGATTCCTATATATATACAGGAATCCCTTCAGAGGTCTGTAAATTCAATAATCTAGGATTTTAATTAGAAGATCGTAGTATGTAAGACATTTTTTCAAAATACTTTCGATACAATGAATCATTTGAAAAAGGACTGACTCAAAGTTCACTTTGAAATATACCAACTAAAAAATTCTGAAAACACCTTGGAGACAACAACAATTTTCGCGGTATTTGATACATTCTAACTTTTCGGTGCAGTGAAACAAAAGTTAAATTACTAGAAGTAAATGTGAACCGAGTGTAAAACCACTATATTCGTCCTATGCATTTTGTTATATTTTCAGTCCTCATATTTAGCTGCTTCCAAGTTTAACCAAAAGATGTTGTATACTGTTTAAGTGATATTCCGCACATTACTTTCGGATGCCTAATTTCCATCTCTTCACCCATATTCTCCCTAAGAGCACAGTGCGCGACGCCACTGAAGCTTATCCCCAGTGTATGCAGAATTTATATCCATCTGCAAATTTTTCGGTATTACTTTGTTGGTAGGTTCAGTGTCTGCAAGTGTTCAATGTTGCTTATTCTCTCGGGCCTGCCGACTAGCCATTTAGTCTTCTGTTTCGAGACAACGAGGACAGACGTTGGTGAAAGTCCACATTAACCTGTTATGATTGCTTCCCTTGACTCTCTCGCCAAGTGTGCGGACCAAGTATTAGCGCTGTATCAACATTACTGTTAAAAATTAGGGCTGGACTTATTTGACACGCCAGTTGAAATTTCTCTGGGCAATTTTTCGTGGGTAATTTTTAAGAGGACTGTGATCTGCCTTTTTTGAACTGCAATTTTTGACAATAAATGCTCCACATGTCTCTTTACAGTCTACTGTACAGTCTACTTTTGTATAGGACGGAGGATGCTATCAGTACATAGAAATCACCCGAAAATGTTGACAGGGCCCCAGTGAGAGTAGAAGATGTGGCGTAGATGCTTTTTTACCGTATGTGTGTTTGGATATGAATTTTCGTCAGTTGAAAGGTTATCCATAGGTGGATTTAAAATATAGTTAAGCTGCTTCGTGCAGTATTATGTGGATTCACTGTATAAAAAATATTTCAACTTTATTTGTGTTGTACCATCGTCTGCATAGTTGACTGCTGTGCTAACAGACGTTGGTGGTTCTCATGACTGTTGCAAGTGGAATGCAGTGGTAAGGGTCACTACTCGTTTAGTTTGCCTCACTGTATCACTCAATGCATGAGTACGTCATGTAGTATTATTATGCAAATGAATTGTGTTTGTTATTAGAGCTTAATCTAGTAAGCTCAGTTGTTGTCAATCCATCGTTGGTTATGCCATTTCCACTGACACCGAATGCTTAATATATAAACCTTGTAGTGGTAAATAATTCCCCAGAATTATTGACCACAGCAATCATCACTCAACATTGGATGCTGACCATCACTGTTTAAGTCGACTTGTTTAGCTGAAGGCTTCCGGTCAGGCGTCCTTACCATTTGGTACTCCGTCGTGTCACGCGCGTGCACGATCACTAGCCAGCTAAGCATTCACTTCAGCCTGCTATTTGGTCCCGAAATATATCTCGTACTTTGGACAACTAAATCTGGTCTTTTGCTTTATCTTTGGTACTCGAAGAGCGAACACTATAGAAGTTGTTGGTATAGGATCTTGCGTTTGTATACTCCGTACAATTCGCAAACATCGATACCGTCAACCCCCAAAACCTCAATGGTTTTGATCACAAATAATGAAGGTGAATATGTCTCGAAATTTTCATTTACACGGATATAGTGTCTTGACTTAATGTCTAGGTTGCATTATGCGGTATTAGTTTCTTCAGCACAATAGGTCTGTGCATCTTACGTGTTTCATTTATTTCTCTAAGCTGTTAACTTTGTGCATAAGTGTTTGAAGTTGGGACATGCTTCACATGGTCACTTTCGTTTGGATTATAGATGACAATTTCATCACCGCACACCTCCACATTCTTGAAGTTTCTAAGTAACAATGTCATCAGTCACCTACTTATTCAAATGGCATGTTTCTGACCCGCAGTGAACGCTGTCTTATCTTTATCACTCTTTATTATCGGTATCCGCCAATATCTTGACAGGAAGTCGAGCATTGTGAACAATTTTGCGCTTTCTAGACGACATATGGTCTCTACTACAGTTGGCATGGCACACGGTCTGAGCTCAATCAAGCTGTTCAGATGTCGGAAACAAACGCATTCGTTCTTTTCAACAAAAGGACCGGAGAGTAATATGGACAGTCAGTTGCCTCAATAATATTATCCTGTAACATCTCCTCCACTTGATGCTCAGCTTAGCCTTCCAGATGACATGGGACTCTTCGTATTGTGAATGATGTCATTTTGCGACCGCTCAGTGTAATTTCATGCCTCACCTTATCACAGTAACCGTAAGGGTTTCCATCTCCAGTGAACAGCCCATCATACTGTTTTGCTAACACTGAAATATTCATCAACGCCTGCTTGTCTCAAACATACTTATAGGTCTGTACTTCGTCATCACTGCCCTCTCTTGCGTGTTAATTACGGCACCAACCTCTCGCAGAAAAACAGAGCCAAGTATTATTCGTCTTAACTTGGGCACGACAATGAGCAGGAAAGTTACTTTGTAATCGCTGATAAAAACACAACAGTTTGATATGCCGTCGATGCTTAATACGTGTCCACCCACCGTTTGTACAGTCAATAGACACGGTCTGACGCTGTGATATGGCTTCACATCTATTAATGAGACTGCTTCCCCTATATCTATCACGGATACTACTTTTCGGCCATTCACTCGCAATTTAGAAAACATTGACGTTTCTCAATAACCCCCACGACTTTTAGTCTGATAGAAGAGAAGGAAGTCACATTTTACTGTTTGAAATATTCCTTCTCCCCCTTTTGGGCAGTCCATCCTACAATGTCCTGCTTTGCTACTTCCAAAGCATCTGTCTTTCTCGGCACTCAGTCGTAGTGCCACTCCTTCTCGCCGCAAAACTTCCAATTTCTGTTCCCATTCTTTCAATTTCGGTGGCTCTATGGCGGCTATCCTTGTGCTCAGTAGCTGCGTGGTTACCTTCATCAACTCACCAATGTCCATGGATTGTGCAGAGTTAACCGGTTGTATTTCCTGAGAAATGTGGTCTGGCACACCCTCGACGAACTGGGACGCCAAAAGCTGAGACTCCGTCTAATCATCCAGTGTAAGGGACGCACGACATAATAGATTTGTCAGCTGTACCGCTAACACTAGCGGGTCTACGTCCCTCCCAGCTTCGTGGCACGGAACTGCTCCATCGCCAGCTGCCTGTTTTTCGGTCTGTCAAACTTTGCCACCAGTCGTCCAACCAACACCTTTCATGTCTACTTCTCGCCTTATCCCCCTACAGTGTCGTACGCCGCCTTCGCTTGCCCTGTCAGCAGCATCCCCAGCACGACCGCCCTTGCCGTTGGATCCTTGATGCCCACCAACTCAGCGACGACCTCGAAGTCCCATAGGAAGCTCTGAATGTCTTCTTCCTTGAAGACAGCTGGCCTGGGGTTTTTATTGTCTGAAGTAATCGACACCACTTGAAATGGTAGAAGACGAAGACTTGGTAAATGAATCTTTATTTAGAATTCGGTGTTGCTATATAGCGAGATTATGTACACCTTATCCTCAAATCACCATTTGCGCAGACCTGTGTTGTGCTACTTCTAGCCCTCATATTGTGATTCCTTGTATTCCTTTCACGTTTCCTATGTCTCTCTGCAATGTTGTATCACCTACTTTCTCTTACATCAAATCTAACCCCCTGTTACTTGATATTTTTATGCTGATGAATGTCTCCCAATATACCACTGATAAATCTTGCCAGTAGCACACGCCACACGTATCGTCAACTCCATTTCTATTAAACCACATAACTCCTCACTTAAAAGTCCACCTAGTCAAGTAGTCAGGAGCTGCAGTCTAACCAGTTATACGTTTAAACACGGTCAAGGTACGTTTCTTAGTCCTATGACGCATTACCCAAAATTACATAGCTATTTTAAATATTTCCTGCTGAAAATATTCTCCCCAAACTACTATCTTAGTCATTAAATTAATGTTATCAACGTAAATTTGTCCACATCCTCAACAGAGCACCTGGAATTATCTATCCTAATAGCAAAAACTCAAATGACTCACCATTTGAGACCATTCACAAGGAAAAAACCTATCTGTTGGCAACATTGCACTTGACTTCCAGACGGTCACAGTGCACTATATGGAAAGGGGTTACACAGAGAGACGCACTACATCGACTCATAAGAAAATGCATATGGTTCTCAACTGCAGAACATTATGCGTTGCTATTCACTCGTTTACTCGTATCAACAACTTCCTTGGTGCCACAGACGGGTTTAATTGTGGCCATTAGGTTTTCCTTCGCTCAAATAGTATTGCCGCTTTTTGACCTATACTGGTAATACTCACATTGCTTTTCAACTGTTCGTCAAAGACTGAAGCGGATGTTTCAGCCATTTCAGAACTGGTGAGAGATTGACCGTATGGACCTGCTAAGGGACATGCCCCTGTGTAGATTCACCAAGTTGACCAAATCTTCGGCTTTGACCGCAGAATACTTTGTGTATCTCTTCTCAGCCGTGAGAATCTTTCCTTCGGTCTCGTTGAGACTAGAGGGATGGCATCTGAGATTTCTGAGAGAATAAGCTTTTTCACCACTTGCCGATGTCCCTCCACGAACAACTCAGCCCGGCCTACGGGGCATTCCCCGTCGGACAAAATTCTTTGCGTTTCGACATGGCCAGCTTTGATACAGCACAGACAGGGTCGCGTAGTGCTCAGCTTTAAACGCTCTCGAAGAATGAGGTCAGACATCATGACTGTGTGGTCAAGAATCCTCAGGAAGTTAATAATTTGGACATTTTCGACAAATAACCGGTCGCCAGTTAGGATATAGACCAGTTTCAATGACTGTCCATCTAGTGTCGTTTCCAACGTTCTCAGTCAATCGCGCACTTCTGATGATTTGTAGCAGATTTCGACCGAGTTTTCCCTGAGCATACCCGGAACCAATGTTAAGGGATGCAGCATTCAGTTCTCCAGCTATAGTGATTTGGTCACAGCCCAAGTCTCTTATTCCTCTGATGGTGATTGTTGTTCTTCGCTCCACAGGTGGATAATCGGTATATTCCCCCCAATGAATGATCGATATGGCCTTCACTGAAATGATGCCAAATAGAGTCTGAGAGTTCACCTAGTGGTGGGTCCGTTGCACGTGCTCGTCCGGCCTGCTTGTCGAAGTATGTAGATGCTCCTACTTCTTGTTATCCCTGTCTCTCTTGATAGGGACCATACCGCCTTTACTGTCTCCGTTGTCGGCGTTAGTGGTGGGCGGATAGGTTCCAGTGAGGATTATTATTTTCAGATCTAGGTGTGACTTGAGGTTTCTGAGTTCACCTACTTTTCCTCTCAGTCCTCTTACATTGCTATTAAGGCAGTTGACATTGAGTCTCACAACCTCAGCGTGTTGTGGGATAGTTGACGTTACGTTGTCTGCTGTTAGGGGACTTAATATCTGTACTAGTTGGCCGATCTCGATGGAACCGACCCGTTGTCATTTTTTCGTTGGATTCGGATAGGACGTTTGGGTGACACGGAATGTCATTCTCCGTACTGCGTCGCCCTGGTGTCACCGAGGCTTGGGGACGTATTAAGACCTCAGTTTGCTGCCTTCTTATGGTTCAAGATCTAACTTCACGGCATTTGATGTGTCTTCCCAGTTTACCCCTGGTCTGGTACCACTGTTGAAGCACTAGGGCCAACTGTTCCTGGGAGTTGAATTCGGCACTTAGCAGCTTTCGAGGGCTAATTGGTGTGAGATGAGCGGGGCGAGGTAGTCGGAAAATCGAGATTGCTCCAGAAGCACCAGGGGCTATCTGAGATAACAGCCATCAACATTGCTGTACATCATATATGTTTTTCACTGGTAGTTCCATTTTCCAGCTCCGGAACATCATGTATGGAGGTAAAGGGCATCAGTTATGGCGACTCCCTCGCCACTTTCCTGTAAGATCATGGCCTATCAGATCTTATTCTTATGTTGTAGCTCCTATCGATAGTGCTCGTGTGAGTAACAATATCCTTTCAGCCTCTTCAACAGAGTCCAGTGTAATCTTTAACCTGACGTGCCTGGACACTCCTATATAGCCTGCACAATTTGACTGAATTAATGCCCAGCCCTAATTTATTGCACAAATTAAACCACTGTTCCTGATCAAACAGAGCCGTTTGAGCAGGCAGACTAGTGTTGTACTCTTGGAAAGTAGAAAGGAAACTGGAGTTCGATAGACGAATCTCTGGCTTACGTTTAGTTTTTAACTGCTTCTAATCCTTTGTAGAGTCGTCACCTTAGACTTCGTTAGGGCCCGACTAGTCTTTGTCATGTCGCCATGCTTGTTAGGGGATGCAAGTGGTCCTGTGACAATTCCAGCCTTCCATGCTGCCCTACGTGCAACCTTGGGAATCTTCAGTTTATAAAGATTGATATTTACAGTCGGTTGGTCTGGAGTACCCTTCTTACGGTTTTCACCAAGTTTTAGTGATGCGGTGTTGTCAGATGGAGTGCTGCATGAGACTGCCAAGACGGAAAAGTAGTGTGCTGTTACTGTTATCCGGGGACACGCTGTGTGAGACTATGCCAGGGCGACAGAGTGACAAATGTATCGGAACTACGAGAACGGGTAATTTCACATAAATTCATAGTATGGTTTTGGCACTCCCTTGTCACAACTGCAGTAAAACTACTGTTTGCGAAAACTGCATTCAAATGCTGAAACACCTTTGGAAACAACGACACTATAGGCCTGGCCGTTGTCTCCTTTTCCAGAAAACGGCTTCCAGGTGTTATAGCGCCTTGAGCGTTTATTTGAAGTTTGGCGGTGTGTGACGCTCCCTATGGATACAAGCGGAGTATTGTGTTCACTTGTTTTTTCCCGTGCAGTTTCAGGGCTGGATTGTGAGAACGTAGGCATACTATCACAGAAGGAGATATGTGCAGTGGTCGCGATCCCACATGCAGGTCAGGTATGCGAGATGGGGTAAATATCTCCCGGTTATTTCTTCCTTTGACTGAAGACCTACTCACTACAGGTTTTGATGTCTTAGCGTCCTTTTTAGGACTAATTTCAACTGCCATATTACCAACTATTATAAATTATGCTCAGATATGAATAACAAGTAGCAACAGTATCTGCCCAACAAAACAAGAGCACTAGGACTAATAAAGCGTAAGATAAGAAAAATCAAAAGGTTTTGACTTTGCCCATAACTTTCAGGCTATTTGGCGTTACAACGATAATGTGGTAGACCAACAAGTTTTGCTTATCTGAACGAGTAAGGAAGGTGCTTCTACCGATGTAGCACCTGAAGCTTTGGCAGTAGTTCGAGACAGCTGGACTCACCACACAGATATTTGATTTGGAAGTAAAGGTTGAATTTCATTCACTGGCTAGGATGATGAGGTTTCCCAAGTGGATCATTCACAAAATAGGCATTTCCCGATTACAGAGAGGAAAGCACATCGTATTCAAAGAGTGTGCCTACGGAGCTTTTTATCTAGTTTGGCACGGATTAGTTATGCCTGTGGAAGCTTTACCTAACCCATTAGGATGAGGGCCTAGACATCCGTATGTGTCTACTGCATAAATGGGCTTTTGCAATAGGTATTTGGACCCTGGCAATTTTTGGGTATTGGCTTGATTAGGTGTATTTGTTTTAGAGGATTTTGTAAATTAGACAGTCTTTATGGGGGCTGAACTTTTATCACGGTGGCTAGGAAACGTGCTGCCTGGAGCAGATTAGTGTGGTTGGTGTTTCCTAGTAAGTTAACTACGGGTCTGGAGGGATAATGATTTCTGAGAAGTGGGACAATCAGTTAACCAGGTGCTCAACAAAGTTTGACTAACAGTTTTATGAGCTTCATACTTGCGTCAGTATACAAGGGAGACAGCCAAACACCACTTTCTTTTGACGAAATTTATATCCTTTGTAAATGTGCGACTGCGTGATGTTTGGCAGAAATATATATATCTGAAGTGGTATTTCTAAGAATATTCTGAAATCATGGTGGGATGTTCTGGACTTCCTACTGTTTAAAAGAAGTTACCAGCATAAATTATTTCACGTGCGTAAACTCTGTAGACAGTAATTAATTATGTCATGTATTTGACCCCCTAGCATAATATAATCATCGATTCAGGCTTTTCACGAGCAGCTGACTTTGCAGTCCCTATACAAAGCTGAGTTTTATCAGTAAACTAAACCACGCTTAGAAGCGTGATACAGGTTCCTTCGGATACTCATTTGTCTTTGCTAGAAATTGAAGTTCCTGTTTCGTAAGTTGTGAGACATATATTAGTGACTAAGAGCAGGCATTTCTCTGAATCTTGATGGCTTGTTTTAAGTGTCATTTAGGTGCACTTCTTGAAGCCCTGTGAGCTCAGTTACTGACTTGTCTAAGCTGGATGTGATGTCTGTAAATTTTATGTGGACATCGGTCGTGGTAGACTTGTATCTTGGTCATACAATTCGCTAAATCATGAACTAAACTTGGTTACAAGGATGCAGCTAACACGGCTAAAATCATGGAGACAAATATATAACTTATGTCCATTAAATGGATACAATTAGCCTCGTCTGATGACCAGAAATTAGGGTAGAATGAAAGCAGCATGGTACAATTTGCACTATCTTGTTCACTCGAAAAATGGCTGATCGCAACATATCTCTTTAAAAGTAGTAGAAATAGGCACACCCACAGTCCACCAAACGCTGTGTATTGGCTGTGAGGTCACTTACGTAGGTCAGATGAGTAGGTTGGGGTTAATGAGATTACCGAAATATGAGGACTTCTCTAGACTGAGAACTAATGACCCTTGTAATTTCAGTAATTTGAAAAAGTACTCGGCCACTAGAATGCATCCGTTTGGGTACAATCTCACAACCGCATAGAATAGGGTGAAAGCATTAAAGTTTTATTTAATTGGATGGGAAGTTATTAGTGGCCGGATCCTTATTAATCGAATCAACACCGTAGGCATGCGGTGGGAATGAAACTTCGCTATTGTCCATACGTACAACTATGTCGTAAGGCTATAGGAAGGCTAAGAAGTACGTTGAATACGACATTATTTATAGCAGTAAATTTTGCCCGCAACATCATCTAGTTAACCAGATAGAATCCCTGTGTCGCATGAAATCATCATACTTTGTACTGAAGAGCATACGTCTGCCTACTGAATTGATGGAAACCCACCGCCCGAGTCATACTCGAATTGAGGATTCACTCCAATTCCAGAAGTGAATAGGCATACTCTTCTGTGATTTCAGTTTGCGGTAGCTGTAGGACTAGTTGCTAGTCTCAATCCTGACCTGCCATATTTTCGGGGTTTGGAAATTAGGTGAAGTTAGATTCGTGTGCGACAGCTTATGCAGTGGTGGGCTCATAAAACCAGTATTATTGCAAATTGATTGGAAGGAGAGTTTTGATGCACAATGACAAGTTGACAGAAAACCATAATATCTACTTTATCCTGTAATATTTTCTCCAGTTGCACCCATGTATGTCTAATAATTCTGATCAGTAGGATGGGAGCACTTTAAAAATATGATGTTGATTATTACATTTGTGTTTGTCAGAATTTTATCACCGCATGCTAACTGGCCGTAAATGCATAAGACATTGGACTTCCATTGTCCACGTATGATATGTTTGAGGCGCGTGGTTTGTGTCTAGTGACACGACCACAATCTCTAGGTCGTACAGTCTTCAGAGTGGTACATTGTCTGTAGCTGGGGTGTGAACAGTGCAAAACAATATGCTGGACTCTAAGACGAATAACTTTAGTGCTCTCGGGTTTCCCTACCCAATTTATGTGGTTGATGTCTTGGATAAAAATTCATTGGTTGTTGCTGGTGGTGGTGGCGCAGTAAAAACTGGTGTTCCGAACAGAATTGACATTGTCAACCTCTATCGAAATGAAAAAAATGATCCAACTCCTGTTGACTGCCAGGTATTGTGGTTTTTTGGATTATCTTTCAGTAAACTGGCGTGTATGCATGCAATTACTTCGGGCGCACATCATATACTTAGGAGCAGACTGCAGATAACTGTTCCACTTTCTGCAATGCGCGCGAAGAAAATGCTAGCTGGGTTGTGTGACCAGGTCCCTGTTTATTTTTTGTTTATTTGCCTCTGCGTAACAGTACTCAAGGTATGCATTTAGAACCTAAAGGCCCCATAAAATCCGATTTATCTGGGTAAACCTCCACTCAGTCATCCTAGGAGACGAATAAGTATGGTGTAGCTCCAGATGAATGAATTTAATATGCAATGTTCGCTTAAATGGGCTTACACCTTAATCCTGTCTGACATTATTTAGCATTCAATGAACATAGAATTATTAAGCAGTCTTTATGAGGGCAGCCCTATTTGTATCACTAATGAGTGGAAGAATATTGTTATCGCAACAAATTTGTGCGATCTGAAAATTTAAGCTTCCAATCCGCTGGGGCTGAGTATTATAGTATAAAATTTATTCTACAGGGAATGCTATGGGATATCCACTTAAACTGATATTTTATCTGGTGTATTTGAATTAATTGTTAATGTTCACAACCACATAAGAACTATATAAAGTTGTTATTGATATAAGGATAAAACTTGGGCACTGTGGTAGACTGATAGGATTCGGTCTGCACCGAAAAATGGACAAGACACATCACACTAGTTACTAGTGTACAATCAGAGTATAACTGCATTATGGATAGAATTTTATTTTTATAAAATCACAGTGTTGTAAAGTAATATCTACTGATGATGTTTCGAGCACAAATTATTACTCATAATCATATTAAGGCACTCACAACTCTCTCGCTTCATATAGTTTGTAGCCATTTTCGGGTAGGCCACAACGCAGAAGTTTTTTCATGGAGCACCTGAAATTTAATTTTATTATAGCTTGATTCCACACAGTATATTGGTGCAAGTATGAAATTTTCAGCATGTGATATCGGTAGCCCAAATTTAGCAGGCCGACCATAAATATCAGGTGTGCGTCGGCGGGGGGTCGAACCCCGGACCATGTGCATGGTCGGCGAGAGTCCTAACTGCTGTGCCACCATGGGAAGTAATTTCAGTCTCATGTAACCTTTTAAAGGGTATTAAGACTTGTCTACTGTGCTCAATTAAAGCTTGTTTGCTGGCTACAGATCACTGTAGCCTAAGCGGGTGCATGCAGTTCCGTTGACCAACTTTTTATGACTCCTCGAAAAGGAGAGGCAAAATGTTTGACTTATTCGTCGTGTGAAGTATCTTTCTCCCCCACCCTACTAATAGTATCACTCCCTTCACAGACTTTTATAGTAAGCTGCATTATGAAGATGATGAGTAAAGTCTCATCTAGTTGGAATTTTCGGCGTGTTGAGACCCACAAAAACAATCGTTCCAGGCAGCATAACTTGCTATCTGCTGCTGTGATTGTCAAGGTGGCAGTTCAGTTGTGACACCATGTTTTTTCCTTCAAGAACATGCGTAAGCTGTCTCAACCGTTGGTGTAGTCTTCATCGTTTTCATACTTAAGTTATCATTGATCGCTGTTGAAGTCTTGTATTAATAATCTAGTTATGAGCTTAGCTGTACGGTATATACACTTGTTACACTTTTCCATTTGATTTTTTTTCACTTTTATTATGAGAACTTTGTTTTTACGGTTGCTCTTTTCTAGCGTTCTGGAGGTTTGGATACAGGCACAGAAGCTGTTATGAGTCTTACTGTCATCACTCCTGGAGATGGTGGTTACATCGCGAGTTTGGAAGGCCAGAAGTGCGTAGAATACATAGCCCATTCAAAAGTTAATCTCGTTGACTCACCCTTAAATTCATCAAGTGTTGAGACCAATGTGTCTTCTACTGACAAGACAGATGAAATAAGTTTGCGTAGAAGAAAAGGTATGTTTCTTCATGTTCCAATCTAAATGTTTAAGTTTCGGCCTATTCATGGGAACTCACCAGTAGGACTTATGACTGAAATATTCAAATTTACTCTCAGTTGTTTAGTAGTCTAATGAATGTGACAAATACTACACACTGAATTACAATCTACTGTTTATCGCTATACCAGTGCTTCTTTTGTGATCTCTGTTTAGAATTTAAAAGATGATAACAGTTTGTTTAGTGTTGTTGTCGTCATATATTTCCATTGTTGTAATCAAAGGCGCCCCACAGTCACATGTGTGGGTTTTGCGTAGTTCCCTGTTGTTGTAAGTGAATATGAAAGCTAGTACAATAAACAGAAACGAATCAAATATGAGACGAATAAATTAAAAGTATCAAAAGCAAGTAGACGGTATTTTTATGATTCATATTTCAAATAAGAGATCCAAGTGAACATTTGAAGAAATAAAATTTTTTTCATTGCAATTCTTGACAAATTAGTTAATTCAGCAAACAGGCTTCATTTGCTGAAGTAAAACAGTACACTTGTTTTTTTGGAGGTGAATAGTTTCTCTTTTTCGGAAGGGGTTTATGAGAAGTAAGTCTGAACTTGAGAAATACTGATATTGAAACTAAGGTAGTGTGATACAGTCTAAATGATTAGAAATAACTTTTCATCGACAGATTGCGTAAGAATAGTTTATCCCTGCTTAGTTGTAGATTGTGAAGATAATATAAACGTAGGGTTGCGTTAAGTTAGGCTGTAATGGATTACTATCATTTATAACTGCCTAGAAGAATCATATGCTTACTGTAATCCTAACTCTTCCGGAGATCTTACTGCATCTAGTTCTTGAGTAGCTAACGTGGACACCATTTGATCATCCTAGTAAAAAGATTACCTTTTGGAAGTCACATTTTCTACTTAGTGCATCCTAGTTAGTCTTTTTGGAGTAATTCGGATAGGTCTTTAGTTCCATCAGATATAGTGAAGGGATCCTTCTCGATGGTCACAACACGTCTGTTTGACTGTATTATACCCAGCAGCTCATCAAAAAACTACGGTGAAGACAATCTAATTGACGATTTCCACATCACACCATTTACGCATGTTGTGCATTCGACTTTAAAAATCTTGCATTAATCACCTCTTCAAAATTCATTTAATTTTTGTTCAATGATGACTGCTGACTACTCTATAAATTATATGTTTTAGGGGAATCTGAGAAAACGGATGAATTAAATAAAGCAGCGATTTCTCCGGAAAAAAATCCAGTGGAAAGTAGTCTTAGTGAATCAATACCTTTAGAGTGGGAATTAACTAAGATTCGTGAATACACACTTATGCAACAGGCTGCGTGTTCGGCTGATGATTCTGGCTCTGAGTCACCCTCAGGTTCTGTTCCGGCAAGTCTATCAGGAACACCAACATGTGTAGCACATGGTGGTCCTGCTGGTACGTGGTTAGCTGTTGGCTCTGATAATGGCTCTGTATTTCTAATTAATCGTTATTCTCATCAACAAGGATGCCTTACCAATGAACAACAGCTAGATGATCTCTCCTCCCAGGTATGTCGTATGTTTTAACTTCGTATTACAATTTGTCTAAGTTAATTTATGCAAGACGTAACTCTCGTTTCTCACTGATCCAGTGGATGACGGTTTGGTGTCCAAAGCCTCAGGATGGTCGGGGGTTGGTCACCCCTCCGCACACCTCTTGAAATGCTCCCATATGACCGGGCGTCTTACATAGCCTCTCCTGAAGAAGTCCTACTCACTGCCTTCACGTGGCGGAGGTGTTTTTCACCAAGGTGAGAGGGCGAAAGCGGATGCCCGGCGCTCTTTACCGGGTTGACTGTCCATTGGATGACAGTCTAGGGGAGATGGCTAAACCCCGATTCCAAACCTCCAACGACTGGCGTATGAAGCTCACTGGAGCTCACCAGCAGACGTATGGACAAAGGGCTTGTTGGATGTCCTGTATGTCTGGCCCCATTCAAAAAGGCGTATGAACCGAACTCCGGTCACCGGCTGCCAATGGATAGTGGACTCCCTACTCCACTCCTACTGCCTTGTAGGTCACACTTGGTTGTGTAAAGGCTAGAGCTGGACTCTCAAACAAAAAGCCGAGCGATTCTGGGGACATCACTCGTACCAAATTCCCATGAAACTTCATGAACTCTCTGTTCATGAAGCCGGCTCATCCTCCCGTAGGAGATAGCCGAAGTAAAGTAAAAGTAAGTAGTTTGATTATCAGTGAGAAAACCCTCACTCACTGGAGATACAGGTAAATCCAACTGACTGGTCCCAAATATGGTGAAATGCGTATCATAGTGTCCAGTGATAGCCACCTTGAGTCAAATAACATTTATACTACAAAGACTACTTGTTTTGTTTGAACAATTACCCACGACTCTGTAATTGAAAATTATAGGGGCCATTCAATTTCTCATTGTATACGTTTTATTCGTTCTATAAATGGTTGGAATACAGATATAACTTAATCTATTTATGTACCATATTATGTCTTGTACAAAAACAAAACAAATGTCTTTGGTCTATAGTTTACAAAGCCAAGAAACGTAGTGAATTATTTTGCGCTATATATGTGGCATAGACTTTTCTCGCTATCTTATGAATTCAAATTATGCAGGGAGATTTCCTAGTGTCAAATTGTATCGTGTACTGATAAGCAGTGAAGGTCAAAAGAATATACGCGTAATTAATGCACAGATGGTCTAAACTTCAAAGATTTAAGTTGGTTTCACTTTGGTTTGAGGTAGTTTGACCGACTAACATGTATTAAAAATTGAAATGCCTAACCTGTTAAACGTGTTCATAGCAAGTTTGCTAGTTGTATTGTTATTATCATATATGCTGTACACCATATAACTTAAATTAAGCAAAGCAACCAAGGCATAGTTTTAATATGGTGTTAACATTTTTAGCGAATTTAGTAAATTCATCTTATTTAAATGGTAAAAAGGGTGTTCAGCGAAGAATTATTCTTGTCAACGATATCATTCTCAAGCTGTACAGTCGCATACGTATAGTAAGTTTTCTAGGTAACAAAAGGAATGTTTCCAAAGATGGGTCATCGGAGTAATAAATTTTGGATAACACATAACAAATGCAGTGTTTCAGGTAGAAACTGAAATAAAATTAAATAAGTAGATTACATGACGTAATAGCCGAGTCATGGTTCATTATTTTAGTCATTGTACCCGACTAACAGAGTTCGGTAGTCCAACTCACCGCACACCATATGCCACACAAAGGTAGACAAATTATTAAAAGAAACAACTATTATGAGCATAAGTGAACAGGAGGAACAATAAATACACACCAAGTAACGAGATTTTGATGGATCTAGGAGTCGTTGATACAGAGGGTATGGATCTTGAGCAGTAAGAGGGATCTTAGGTCGTGTCATGTCACCAACAGTCTCCATCCACCATTAATTACTAGCATCTCGAAGACCCCAGTTCGCCTAACAGCCAAGCAGTCTACATCTCCCTATATCGCCGGCTGGAAACAACACTCAAAGACTTGATGGACTAATGCGGTATTTTAATTGGACCATCAGTACTTTCTGTTCAGCCCATTCCTAAGTCGGGTAACATGACTCAGCGAGGTCGATGATGAATTGGTACGCGTAACTTGTGTCCTAACCATCTCATTCGATGCAATCTCACGATCCTCCTAACCTCAATATTACTCATCATATAATGTCACTCAACACGGGAGATGGATAGATGACAAACACTTTTGGTCAATGACAGCCAACCCCCTCAAGTCATAGTCTTGCACTTTCAATGACCACGTCCTACAGTCATGAGGACGGAGAAGGCGAACTATTATGTAGTGCACACATGGCTTGATCGATAGCTAGACAACATGTTTGTTTACAGGAGATACGACGTAAGTTGTTAAGATCCCACAGGTGTCTTTTGTACCCATTCTGAGATTTCGTCAGAAACTAGTCACTTCATTTGGGCTGATGCAAATTCCCGAATTATTGACTTGGTTAGCACATCCAACCACTTCACTCTCACCCATCTTCAAACTAGGAGTTTGTGTAAACAAGTCCTGCAACATCGTCTAACATTTGGTGATAGGAACGAATCGTTTACTCGACCTGCTCAGATCTCTCTGCTCATGGTGTTCAGAAGAGTGCATTTTTTTCAGCGTCTCCATCGTGGAATTGTATATCATCTGCATTCTGTAAATATAGGAGGCTGGTAACGAGTGAATCCCTAAGTCGTTGGAGTCAATTAGAAGAATATTCATTAGAGGATCCATGATGAAAAACGAAGAAGAATGGCGACAGTGGTCGTTGATGATGGTGATAAACACCAGGAGAATGACATCACCTCAGATGACAGCTCTTCATAAGCTCTTGCACTGCTCAGTTATTTGGAGTAGAGTGAGTTATTCGTCGATTAGTGTGACATGCTTCCTCTTCACTTCTTTCAAGACCAGAAATGTTTCCTCCAACTCTCAAGTCGTGTTATCTGAGAATTAATAAAGGGCGGCTTGTCAGGGAGGTAGTTTTACATATCATTGGTTATTGACAATACGTTTTTCTAATGGCTCAAAAGATATTGTGGTGTTATCTAATAGCGACGTCTTTTCTGTCCCTTGCTATTTTGTTGCCCACCACCGTTCATAGTTATTGCAGACTTTCAGTCAACTTGCATTTGAGAAGCTTTCACTCGTCGTCGCGTTCAGAGTCAACTGGAATCAGTCTCTTTGTGTTTAGCAGTTTGAGTGAAGTAACAGAAATCCACTGGCATTTTCCAACCTTAATTTTTAGATTACCAGTAGTCTTCAGCACTGTTTCTATGTCTCACTGCATATTATGCCAGTCTTCCTCAGGTAGTAGAGTTTTACTGTTACTCTGAGATATGTATGTAGTTATTTCTTTAGATCAACGCCATCATGTTTGGGGCGTAGCTACTTCGTAGCTGACTTTCTGTGCGAGTTCAGTAGTTTTTTTTCCTTCACGTTCCCCAGTGGAACATAGGGCTTCAAGCCAGAACCTTGAAGTTTCTGTAGCAGTGTTTATTTTACAGGATGGGGTTGCTAGCCTCATGCCCAACCTTTCCTCTTCACCAGCATTATTTCTGGTTCAGCGAGGTAAAGGAGTGCGTCGGCCGGGGATCGAACCCCGGACCATGTGCATCGTTGGCGAGCGTTCTAACCGCTGTACCACCGACGCACAAAGTTCAGTAGTAGGCATAGTTTACAGACTTGTTTTAGAAGTTTAATAATATTAGTATACTTCTAATAGTGTGAATCACATGGCCAATTCTAAAACATTTAGTAGTGTTTGTAGCGTTTTACTAGTAAATATAACCGATAGTTTGGTGGTTGTTGAGTTGAATTTTTTATGTTATTTTAGTGCTTTTATCATCTGATATTATTTTTGAAAAATGCAAAAATGCGTGAATTAATTCCACTTACGTTATAAATCTTTTTACAGTCATTGATCTTGTATCCAGATGTTAGTAGTGGCCTCTCCACTGGTGTTTGCAGTATGGCTTTCTCTCATCCACATATCAGTAGTTCTAGTGATTCTACAACTTATCCGCTACTAGCTACAATATGCGACAGACCTGATTGGAGTACATTGCGTGTATGGCGTACTGATGGTCGATTTTCAAAATCTTTTCTACCTTTGAGTGATATAACATCAATGCGTTCATCATCAGTAAAAGGTCATCAACAAATTAAATCAAAAATATCAGTTTCTAAGCAAACTCTTGCAGATGGTCGGGGTGTTCGATTGAAAACATTTCTTAAAAGTGTAGATACTGATGCCTATGACAATTCATTTAAACTTCAAGATCAAATTTTATTCAGTCATTCAGTAGAAAAGTATCCATTCGCTATTGCTTCTTGTAGTTCTTTATCATGTAACAGTACACCTCCACCCTCTCCAACTCCTGTTTCAACTGCATCAGCATCGGGTAAAGTAAGTTTCCCTTGTTAATCTGGATTATTAATTCACCGATAATGATTTATTTTGTGTTTTTGTAAAGTTGCTTAATGTGAATATTGCTCAATTTCCAGTATAATTGTCTTAACAAATGATCTGGGTATATTTAAATGTATAATATATTACTAGAATAAGCGACAAAGTAAATAAGGATGCTCAGTAGGCTATCTATAATTCCATCAAATGTTTGCCTTTATGTATAGGAGTATTTGATTCATTTTTGAATTGTATTTCATCTTGGCTTTGTTTTCCAATGATAATTAGCTAAATTAAAGACTCACATTTTGCCTATGTAGTACGACCTGTTAGCGGAATTCATTTACTTCTATCTCACTGAGTTTTTGGTAGTCAATGAGTCATCAAACCTATTGGTTTGAAAATAACTTACATGTATTTGATTTTTGTTCTACGTCTGACGATTACTAGTTGTGTGAATCACATGACAATATCCTTACACTCGTACAATTTAACTATTTAGGAGAATTTTGATCAATTCTTTGTAGTAAGGTAACAATTAGACTGACAGGCCGAAATAATTCCTTTTGGATATTCGATCTAACCATGTAAATACCTGTGATATGATAAAGACAAATTTACAGAAAGTTAAATTTGTTGTTGTTTCAAAGGTTGAATACTTGTCTCACAACTAGCTTGCACCAACTTCTGTCTGACAATAGGAAGCGATGTTTTGAAGTTTTCTAACTACTTCAAATGTCTTGACATTTATTTGTACTAGTTATGGTGTCATGTATGTGTGTCTTTTAGCTTCCATCATATTACACCACTTAGGATACAATCGAGATGTCTTATTTTCTCTCTAGAGTCAAGTGTTTGCAAAATGTAATTATCAAACCTTCATGATCTACATAAACTGCAAGTACTTATTTAGTGTTGTTTATGTTCACTGCAGGTAAGTGTCTGTCATCAACACCTGCTACCGCCAGCTGGATATTGAAGTTCAGATGACTGACCAGAAAGGATAGACAACAGGTAACTCTGGGAACGAACCAACTAAGAACCTGTCGCCCAATAAATACCCAGAAGGGAATGGAGTTGTACACACTGAGGAGACCTTGATCGACATCACATATAAGGTAGGTCCTTGAATGGACATGAATGAGAAATAACGAGTTTGACCTCCAAGGCTGATATGGAGGAGATCAGGTGAAGAGGAATTGTCAACTTATGGCTAATCTTGGAGCCAGCTAAAAACGACTGCATAGAACTGAGTGGCATGGCCATATGCTGCTGAAGCCCTATGTCCTACTTGGAACCCAAAGGAATAATGACGATAATTATTTTTCTAGAGTAAAGAACAAGAAGTTCAGTAAATATATCTTTTCGGTGATGTCATCCCCAAAAGCTGTACAATTGCACATATATATATATATAATAGTTCCTAGAGGAACATTGGGATTCAGCCGCACGTCTCCATTGCGTTCGGTTCTCTGCCAACGTTTTTACCTGGCCCCACGTCTGCCCACATGCTTTAGTCTCCTCTTCGCATGAACTCCTCCATATCACTCTCTCACTGACCACCAACTCACCGCTTCTCATTCAGGTTCCACTCGACAGCCTGTCTAGTGATGTCACTTGATGGTTTTCTCAGAGTATGGCCAATCCACCTCTATTTCTTCCTGCATATTTGTTGCACAATTGGTTCGCTCCCAGAGATCCCTGTTGCTGATCCTTTCTGGCCATCTGATCTTGAGCAAGTTATTGAGCGAAAAAAGCTTATATATATATAAGAATACTGAGGCAGTCACGTGTAACATTTGCGCGTAGATTTTTACTCTTCTAAATTAAAAAGCAATAAAACTAAGTGACAGTCAAATTGGGACTAGCTTTAATTACTTATTCTCTCTGGTAGCGTCAGAATTCTTCAACCACTGTCAGTTTCTTGAATACCACCATAGGAATTTAGAACATTAAAGGGGAGTACTGGTCCAAAGCAACTCTTTGTCGTTCATCGACTGACTAGTTTTCAGTTTACTCTAAAACTAGAAAACACTGATCGGTGAACAAAGGCTTTTGGAAACCTTGTGTTCCAACACTATATCGATGTCACGCATAGCTTTTTAGCAGTGGTTATTGATTAGTGAGTATGTCGGTCGTGTATAGATTTCAACAGATTAGCTGTGCTGTTAACTCAGCTAGGTTTCAGTGTGACAAGTAAAAACAAAATGATTGAGTAATTGAGCAATATGTGCGTCCTTAATTCAGCGTGCTCCGGGGTTCGCTTCTCGGCCAACTCACTCATTTACCTCCATCAACTGTGATAGTAAGCCCGATAATTAGGTAAGATTAGGCGTGAGGCTAACAATCCGATCCCAATAAAAAAAAAACAACGCTACTGAAACTTCGAAGTCCAGACTTGAAGTCCTACGTTTCACTCGAGACGTAAAGGAATTTAAAAATTGAGCGACATAAAAATATTACTTATGTGCATAGTTCTAGACATACTTTGACAAAAGCATATGTCAATTCGTGTGGTTGAATTTCACAAATGTTTGTAAAACGTTATGTGGGTAATGTATCAACTTACCTCATTACAAAATAACTCAAAGAAATGTAATTAGTAAGAATAAAGCGGATAGTACAGTAAACAGATACTTGAAGATTAGTCAAAGCGTTGAAGATAGTAAATCATAAATAAGTCAACTTTGTATCAGAAAAAATTGCTTACTTGATTTATGCGTAAATATTTCTTGTTAATTTCGAAGTTCATATAATCGAATACTTCTCAATCATGTTAACTTTTCAAATTTTCATAGTATTTAGATTTCCTCATAAAGTATATATTACCTTCTAATTTTACCATGAATTTTTGTTCCTTCCACAAATTTCAGGTTGTTGACCGTTCAAATTATCGTTTCAGGCATTGTCAATTTATGAAGTATTCTATCACACCTCAAGTTCCAACCGGTCACACCTTGTCTGCTACGAATTCTAAGGATGAAAAGAGTAATAACGTTGAGTCTATGTTAGTTACTACCCTTCAGCCTTTATGCGCAAATCGGCGAAGTTTTAGTCGTTTAATTGTTTGGTCAGTTCCCCATGCTTCTTCGTTGGGTTCTGAAACAACAGGTACTGGAAGAATCCATCAACCGGTTCAGCTTAATGCCTTTGCAGAGATTACTCTTCCTCAAGGACATCTACCTGCTTGTTTGGCTGTTCATCCTAGTCGGTCACGCGGTCTGATTGCCGTGGGCACTATGGAAGGACGTGTTGATGTTTACTTGTGAGTTCTATTACATTGATTTTTAATATACAGTGAAAACCATTTGATTGCCAGTTTTACACACTTCATTATAATATTTTTCTAGAGGCATATTTACAATCAAAAGTGGTTAGTGACTGTCCTAATGTGAATAAACTGTACTGTTGCATGGGTCAAAAGGTTTTAAGTGTCAATAAAACCTCCCCTGTCCTATCGAACTCCAAATGCAGCCCCTTGCACAAAAATTCAGCAGGTCAAGTCCTTACACACCGTATAACACACAAAAGTAGAGGACTTTGAGCTATGTTACCAACAGTCTACAATCATTGACTCGCAGCATTTTGGGTACATCAGGTAGCGTACACCACCCTATATGGCTGGCTAAAAACAGCAGTCAAAGATGTGGTAGATTAATGCAGTGTTTCGATTTGACCACCCGTAACCCTATTCAAGCACACTCAGCAGTATGCTCCGTCCTCCTTTATGTTTGTGAGACATGACCATTGGAAGCGGGAAACATGGAGAGGCTAGCTGTCTTTGATCATAGGTATCCACGTTCTACCTTTTGTGTTAGGTGATATAATAGGGTGAGTAATATTAAGGTTAGGCGTCGAGTGTTAGGTAAGGAGGGGAAATCAATCGACGAGGCTGTGAAATCACATCGACTGAGATGGTTAGGATATGTATTAGGCATGCTGACTTTCTATCAGGTTAGAAAGGAGCCAGGAGTGATCACACTAAACTTCAGAATCAATCCATGAAATCTTTGACAGTTTGAACCACGTGGAGAAGTGCCTACTGCGTGATTGGGGTCCTCAGAATTTTATAAATTAATGGTTGGGAACAATTGTTGATATGGCTCACTGGCGCAAATGCATTTACTCTCTGTAAAAGGCCATATCCAATAAAGGCGTACTGTTTTCCGATGTTGCTATTCTTTTCCACCGACATTTCTGCTTATTATCATACTTTCGAATCACTCTTTTTTTCTCTTTTGGCTTCCTTTGTATGCTACATTATGGCAACTCGAACTGCTGTACTTCTTTGCAAAGTTCTATGTTGAAAGCAGGCAGTTAGCCATTCAGCCCATTCTTATCTCGTGATATGTTTCGACGAGGAAGATAATGACTTGGCTGGTGTAGCATGTGTTCTCACCATCTCATTCAGTACAGCCTCAAAACCCTATTGATTAATTTACCCCTCCCCTCACCTAACACTACGCCTAGTGTCAATATTATTCACCATATGATACTACCAACAGGAGATAGATATGTGGCATGCATCTATGGTTAGTGATAATTAGCCTCTTTAAGTCTTTCACTTTTAACAGCCACGTCCCACAGTTGTAAAGAGGGACAAAATGAACTGCCGTTGAATGCATACGTGATTTGTTCGGTAACCGGATAATATGTCTATGCGAGAGATGTTTTCCGAAAACAGACTCTGTACGAAATAAGGTTGCAGAGTAACTGAGTATGTCTTTCATGTGCTTCTTTAATACTAACACTTACATAGTCATGCTAAAATTAAGTGAATTTTCAAACAGTTTTCTTAAGGGAACCTCACATGGACTTCCATCTATTTTTCCTCATACGGATAGTCACTTGTTTAAGACTTACATCGCTCATTAAATTGTCTGGCTAGCTGTGTGCTTAAGATCCGGTATTGGGTTATCCTCCAGACAGGATTTCTCATAATGGCTATTATCATTATTATTATTATTTAATAGATTAAAGTTTTGCAAGTGGTGGTGCAAGTAGTGGTTAGTTTACTCTTAACTGAGTCTTCCTGCTTCCATTTGATGGTGGCAATATATGCAGTCTTTTACTAAAAACTTAATGGTCACACGTGGGTGAGTGGGCGAATGAATGAAAAATGAATGTCAAGTGTGTATGTGGTTTTGAGTCGTAGATCTGTGCAATATATGTTAACAAGTTATATTCAAGTGTTGGTTTGTAGGGATTTGATTGGTTACAAGATTTTCATCATGAGCTGACATTAGTTAGAGAACCACTGGAAAACCTGGAATAACTGGACAGCCCACTGGGTTCGAATCCCCGTGGGTGCGTACTGCTGAAGAATCCCAAACTAGGACGAAACAGCTGTCCAGTACTCCCAGGTTTTCCAGTGGTTCTCTAACTAATGTCAGCTCATGATGAAAATCCTGTAAACAAGTTATATGCCCTTAAACAGTAAATCGTTACATGAAATTAGCTGTATAATTTATTATTTTTCCCTGGTTGGTTTCAGAATGGGAAATAAAGGCCTTCAGCAGCACATCTCCATTTTACTCTGTTTTCTGCAGGTCTTCTTCTTCTTCCTTCTCACACTATTTTCCTCACGTCACTCTTGGACAAGTAGCCCATCGTTCCCTATTCGAATTCCACTTGTAGGCCTGTCTGTCGTGTGATGTCACTCAGCGCGCTTGTCCAATCCATATTCATTTCCTTCGGCGTATTTGTTTGGATGCTTGTCTGCCAGAGTTCCCCATTGTTATTCATTCCTGGCCGACCATCTGATTTTCACTATGGAGCAAAGTAAAGTGTTGATGGGTCTAAAGTCTGTTGGAGATATTTTCTGTGAAGAGCAGGCGAAAGGTCGATTACAATATGGAAGCACACACAGTCGATGTTGAAGATCTAGATCTTGTTTCTGATACTGAGTGAAAGAGATGTCAACCCTGATTTCAGGTTAGTGATTATGTAGGAGTTAAAAATCTAGCAAAATATGCTACTGTTTATAGTAATACTTCACATTAATGACTTTTTGTATATATGTATATATTTCAGCTTGTCACCGTGCAATCATCGTTTGGTCAATGTATACTCCTTAAAGAATGCTCATCCAATATTTGTCACTGCACTAACCTTCTTACGACAAGATTCATCATTGTCTACACAGAAATTTCAAAAGACCAACTCAAAAACTCATCTGAAATCGGATTCCTTCGATTTAGTCAGTGTTAGCGTAGATCGATTGGTTAAATGGCATCGTGGGCCAACTTATTCAATTGTTGGTAAATTATCACGAGGACTTATTGATATGCATAATAACGACAACAATAATTGGTTTAGGCATATTATTAGTGCAAAAGTTGGCATCTCTATAATTTACTTTCTCAGCATATTAATGTTACCAATTCTTTTGGTGTTGTTTGAGGCTATCTTGTCTAAATTTTAAATAGTGTATTTTATTTTCAGAACATACTCTATTTGTTTGTATACATATGATATGCATATCTATGCGAAATATGTATATTTTCTGTCCCACACACATGCAGACGCGCGCGCGCGCATACAATTATCATAACCAAATGTCTTTCATTATCTAGTTATGAGCGATTACTTACAACAGATGATACCTTTATTCTATCAAAATCTGACTAATATCTCTCTCTCTCTCCCTCTCCCTTAATCCAATTCATTTGTCTATATACAATTAACACTAATTCTCTGGATAGTTTAGGTATGGAATTTGTATACAAGATGATTTTTATTATTATTATTATTCGTTTTACTCTTTACCTTTTGTCGTCTCCCCTCGCCCTCCTCATCATTATTATTGTTGATGTCGCTAATATTTAAATAATAATAATATTAATAATAATTTTATTGTTTTACTCCATGTTGTTAATATATTTATCAGCTCTATCAGTTTACTTGATCTCGATTATTGTTATTATATTCCTCCCCTCTACCTCCTCCTCATTATTATTATTATTATTATTGATATAAATAGGTGAATAAAAACAAGAGTGAATAAATTTAATACCACAGACATTTTTGACCTATCTGTGATCTCTTTTCTGAATAATATCCGCATATTGTCACGGTTTATTTCTCCTTCAGGATTTACAATAATAATAATAATAAAACTCGGTTCCTTCTTTTCTATGTGGTTTGTTTTGGTGGTAGTGGTATATTGTGGATATTAGGATATACTACTCTGTGTGTGTGCATGTGTGTATGTATGTTTGTATGTATGTCCTCACTTTATTGTTTTGTTTTCTAATGTATCAACTTGTACATTTGAAAAAAAAGACATTTTAAATTCTGATTTTGTTTCCTTTCTTCCTTCCTTTCATTTCATTTCATTTATTTATTTGTCTTCTACGATTATTATTATTATTATGATGATATGTACACTGTTTGACTATTCTAATTAAAGTGATTGTGAGATTGTATTTTATTTTTTTTGTTTAACGTACTTATATAAAGTGCTCAATACTTGATCATTAGTCGTCAATTGAATCTGAATCCGGATTAACTCTGAGACGACTGGATTGTTAGAGTGGGAATATTTTGAGAAGCAAATTAACTGGCCTACAACAACAACTAATACTACTACTACCGATAGCTGCTACTTTAATGTGCTGGTTGGGCTTGTATATTGCAACGACTCAAATAGCTATCTATACTGGCTGGAATTCATGTTCTTGCATATTCTACGACGTCAGAAAGGTCTCTTGAATAGTGGTTATACTGACAGCAGTCACCACCATTGTGTAATTCGTTTCCACAACTTTGGTGTCCAAGGGAGAATGAGAATATTGTCAGCAGTAAGGTGTTTCCTAGCTATGCTACCTCTTCGTTCTAAAGCAGTGGGTTAGACACGGTCAACCCTGAGAATTGCACATCCCTACTTACCTTGTGGCATTCTACGGTCGGTAATAAGACATTCATACAGAGAAATCTTCAGTTAAAACAAGCCAGTGTTAAGCAGTTGTCCTTTGGGCTATGTGGCCACACACACACAACATTGATTCTCTTTCTGTTTCAGATATTCCAACTGCCATGGTGTGGGGGTAGCTGAGGCGCAATAACCGTCCACAAACTTCCATAATCACGCATAGGTTTCTTAATCATCATTCGCAGTCATCTTCCTACTTTTCTGTCACTGTTAATACTACTCCACTTTCAACTCTACAGTCAGTAGTAGTGATCTGAGCTGGAAAAAGACTTCTGGAGGTGTCTAAAAACTATGCTGTCAACTTCATATTAGAGTATTCGATATCAGGACGCTTCGTCAAATTGAACGACAGACCTCGCTAGCCAGAACTCTAGCATCTCGAACCGTTGGTGTATGTCGTGTTTTGGGGGCATGCATACGAGCCCTAGATTTAGTTATTCACTAAACCTCACGTAATGAATCTAGAAAATTCACCTTATGGATATCAGAAGACTCTTCGTCCAGTTCGCGACAACTTGTTGGCGTAGGAAGAGTATCCAGTGCTAGGGCAGGAAAGTCACTACTTGACTGAATCCCACTGGATAATCATAAACGTGCTGTTCGGTTGGACGGTTCCGTTGGAAGTGAGTAAGTTTACTATGTTCTTTAGCGTCTTTACATAACATCATCATGGATCCTCTAATGAATATGCTTCTAATTGACTCCAACGACTTAGGGATTCACTTGTTACCAGTCTCCTATATTTACAGAATGCAGATGATATATAACTCCCTGATGGAGACGCTGAAAAATGCAGTCTTCTGAACACCATGAACAGAGAGATCTGAGCAAGTCGAGTAAACGATTCGTCCCTATCACCAAATGTTAGACGATATTGCACGACTTGTTTACACAAACTCCTAGTTTGAAGATGGGTGAGAGTGAAGTGGTTGGACGTGTTGACCAAGTGAATGATTCGGGGAGTTGCACCAACCCAAATGAAGTGACTAGTTTCTGACGAAATCTCAGAATTGGTACAAAAGACACCTGTGGGATCTTAACAACTTACGTCGTATCTCCTGTAAACAAACATGTTGTCTAGCTATCGATCAAGCCATGTGTGCACTACATAACAGTTCGCCTTCTCCGTCCTCATGACTGTAGGACGTGGTCATTGAAAGTACGAGACTTTGACGTGATGGGGTTGGCTGTCATTGACCAAAAGTGCTTGTCATCTATCCATCTCTCGTGTTGGGTGACATTATATGATGAGTAATATTGAGGTTAGGAGGGTCGTGAGATTGCATCGAATGAGATGGTTAGGACACAAGTTACGCGTACAAATTCATCATCGACCTCGTTGAGTCATTTTATTTATTTTTATTTTTATTTACAGCTTGATTCCACACCGTATTTTCAGTACAAGTGTGGAATTTTCAGCATGGATATCGGTAGCCCAAATTCAGGCCGACCATAGATATCGGGTGTGATGTCATGTCACCCAACTTAGGAATGGGCTGAACAGAGAGTATTGATGGTCCAATTAAAACACTGCATTAATTCATCAAGTCTTTGAGTGTTGTTTCCAGGCAGCGATGTAGGGAGGTGTAGACTGCTTGGCTGTTAGGCGAACTGGAGTCATCGAGATGCTAGTAATTAATGGTGGATGGAGACTGTTGGTGACATGACACGACCTAAGATCCCTCTTACTGGTCAAGGTCCATTCCCTCTTTACCAACGACTCTTAGATCCATCAAAATCTCGTTACTTTGTGTGTATTTATTGTTCCTCCCGTTCACTTATGCTCATTATAGTTGTTTCTTTGAATAATTTGTCTACCTTTGTGTGGCATATGGTGTGTGGTGATTCGGATTGCCACATTTTTTGCCGTCGTCTCCTGCGAATCCTCGTCGTGCCTGTCTTGTCTTGAATCCCTCTGCTACTTCCATTGTTTTTTGCATTGTATATCACTGTATGTTATATATATATATATCATGCATGTCATTCTCAGGTGCTGTAGTCCTCGCTACCCATCTAGGTCCTACTCGATAGCCTGATAGATGATGCCACTCAGCAATTTCATAAATGTACATCGAGTTAGTCTCCGCCTTTCTTTTATTGGTTTTGTGGTCAATAAGTTCCTGGCTAATTTGCTGACATATCTCTTCGTCGCTTTTGCTTTCCAATCGGCCAGTTCATGTACAGTATTCAAGTAATGAAGGCGGGTATCGTTGAAAGTTTTCAGTTGCCTTGTGGAAATGAGTTTGTTGACGCGTGTACCAAATCTGTGAATCATGTTCAAATACTGACTTGACATTAGTGTGAAATATATTCAGATCTTGTTTCCTGTGTTAAGTCCGTGTGTGTCGATCTGCACACTTATTTCAGAGCAATGAGTGACTGTTTTGCTTTTTCAGTGTAGCTGTATCATTCTCATCCGTACTCCCTGTCTGTCGTTGAAATGATGCCGCCCAGGTTAATGAAAGAAGTGACTTCAAATTTCTCGAAGTCCATATCTCCCAGTAAATTCCCGTCAGTTCAAACTATACCCGCCTTCTCACTTCTCATTTTCTCTTGCATGATTCAGTTCTCCATAATCAGGAATATCATCGGTGATAGCATGTAGCCTTGTCATACTCCTGTCTTCACTTACCAGGCTTTACTGACGTTTTCGTTGTGAATTACCCGGCTTGTGGAAGCATAACATTGTTACTAACTGCACTCCGTGGTGCTGAAGCAGTCTCCAAATTACTTTGACGTTGACGCTGTCGAAAGCCTTATTAAAGGGAATGAAGTTTAGTTTTAGAGTTGACTGCCATTACAGTCTGTGTTTGATGATGATGCTCAGTGTTGCGAATTGGTCTACACATAATTTGTTTCCCTTAGTTCAAGCTTTTCCGGGTGAAATTTTCCACTCAGGACATTTTCCAGTCTCTCGAAGCATGTATTGCTTTAGATTTTTCTTCGAGTGGATAGGAACACTATTCTGTGCCAGTTCTTGCATAAGCTTAATTCACCCGTCTTTGGCAGTACAACAACTTCCAGTCACTAGACTAACACTTCCATCTCCTCTCACACCTTCTGCAGTAGTGACATGAGCTTTCCTGCCGAAGTTTCTGGGTTCGTTTTCGGTGTTTTTGGGGGAATCCCATCCGGCCCTGCTGCTTTTCACCTTTAGTTAACTGCATGCCGGGGGTTGGTGTTCATCACTTATTCGTATTTGTCTTCCGGTGGTGATATTTCTGAAAGAGTTGCAAGTGGTGTTCAATTCAGGGGACGTTAAAGTGATCAGCCTAACATATCACTCTTTCCACTTCTTCGATAACTGGGATTGTCTCAGTGCCCTTGTCTGTGTTGATGTTTTCCCGACTTAGTTATCCCATATGGTTTTTCAGGCCCCTCTTACTTGCATCCTGTATTACTTTAGTCTCTAGTATGTTTCGAAGGTGTCTTTCGCCTTTATTGATATTATTCTTCACTCCTTTTATTTAATCCCATGTATATTATGTCCATCTGCTGCTCTCGTCGTTCATCTCTGCACTGTTTCATCTTCTACTTCAGTATCCTACTCTTCTCTATCAGCCTCAAGATATCTGTAGTCAGCCTAAGATGTCTACACAGATTTACTTGCATGTTATCTTCACAGAGTCCCAGTGTTCTTTCACGCAGGTTTCCTCGGTGATGTTGCTTAGCGCCTCCAACATTTTTTGATGACTGTGTTGAATTTGTGATCTGTAGTTTTGTCCTGTAGTTCTTGGATTTTTAACTTGAACTTTGGTCTACCTCCAGTTTCTCTGAACACTTTCAACTTGATCATGAATGTTTCTTAAACTAGACAATGGTCTGAGCGCACATCTCTTCCTCTTCTCGATTTGGTATCTAACAGGGTGTGTCTCCACTTTATTGAGATTGAGATGAAATCTATCTGATTTTGATTTACCTGCCTGGTGTAATCTCTATCATGTTGTGTATATCCTTATGTTTGTACACAGAGCTTGCGATCATCAAATCAATAAAGGTCCACAACTGTGCGAAGAGTTCTCATTCATTTCACCAGAAGACGATGAGTTCTCTAACTGTGTTGTCTTCGAGTTCGACTTGTATTTATGTTACCCTTTACAATTTTGATATTACCGGCTGACTGGAGCCTTGTCCATTATTGTTTGCGGTAGTCTGTAGAAGTCCTTCTTCACTGGGTCTGCGTTGTTTTTCAGCACTAAGTATATTTGTATAGTTGTAGTTTTTCTTCCCTTGGAGTTAAATCCTGCTGTCGTGATGCAAGAGTATAATGGTTCCTACTGCATCAGACCCTTTGTTACTGTTTGTGATAGGATCATGGCTACGCCATAAGTGTGTTGGCAACTGCCGACTGAGTGACCGGAGTGTATCATTTACTCTGCAATCAATAGCTAGGACAGTCCAATTCTATTCCATTTTCTCTCACTGATCCCTTACACTTCTATACTCTATATGCTCTATTTTCTTGTGCAGTCTAAACAATCTTACTAGCC